TAGGCATGTGAATAATGTGAATAAGCATAAATAAATACAGCTTGTACTTCACCTTAATTTCTCTATTTAGCATTTATGAAAGTATCAAAATATTTTATAAATGGTGTATAGCGCCCTGCAATGTAGTTGTATACAGATAAGTGCACTTTAAGTTTATTAATATGCAGGATTTTCAACAGTTATAACTTTTCCTGGAGACATATTTTATATTATTACAACTGTCTTTTACTATACTGACATTCATTATCTGTTTTTTATAGCAGCCCCCGCTTATGGGTGCCCACATGAAGAGCTTTAATTATTGTCTTCCTACAACCATACTGCAGTGTGTAAAAAACTGTTATGTAATGTGTATATACAGCTTATAAATGCTAAATAGGGGGTATATATACTTTAAGTATACTCAAGTACGTTAACTTGACTTGGAAATATAAGAGTCCAGACTGATGAATTGTTGTAAACTTAACAAAGAAATAGTATTTAAATAATTAAACATTAGCTCAAACGCGACCAATTACAACAGTTAAATGCTACTTACACAATCAGTATTAATAATCTAATGAAATAATAACAGTATAACACTCATAGTGATTATTTGTCTCCATTGACTACTTTTACATTTGACACTTCAAATAATATTTTAATAATATTACCATTTTCAGTGGACTTTTACTGGTTACATTTTACAGTGTAGAATTACTACTTTTACTTAAGTAAGGGATCTGAATAAATCCTCCACCACTGAGAAACGCCACCTGAAAAAATGGAGCTTAAAAAAAGCAAATGCTGTGGGAGCCCCTGAGCCGAGTGTAAGCTGAGTGTCTTGCCAGATTAACTTTTTCAGTACAAACCCAGTGTTTTACTGGTTCAGTGCCAGTACCAGTTGGAGGTTAGTCTTTTGAGGGCGCTTAGCATTCTTAGCGCATCTTTAGCAACTAACTAAAGGGCACTTAAGAGTAGTTTTTCTAATTTGTGTTTTGCATTCTGTAGCAAGGTGTTGCTTTTTACTTGGTGTGTTACAGTTCTGCAAAGTCTGCAGCCACAAAGCCACAGCCCTGTGCAGCTCTGCTATATATTTCAGTTTGCACCTGTAACCACAGTCCACATCCAGGCACCGTTCACATGTAAAATCTGACCCCAGCTACATGAAGTTGTCATTTTTTTGATTGACAGTGAAGAAGTTTGTTTCATGGCTGAAACATTTTTAGGTACACACCGATCAGCTATAACATTATGACCAGCTGGGCACCCTGGTGGTCACAATGTTCTGCAGTCCCATACCAACAATCTGTGATGCATTGTGTGTTCTGACCCCTTTCTATCAGAACCAGCATTAACTCTTTCAGCAGTTTGAGCTACAGTAGCTCGTCTGTTGGGTAGGACCACACGGGCCAGCCTTCACTGGACCCCCATGACCCTGTTTCTGGTTTACAGCTCTTCCTTCCTTGGAGCACCTTTGATAGGTACTAACCACTGCAGAGCGGGAACACCCCACAAGAACCCAGTCGTCTAGCTATCACAATGTGGCCCTTGTCAAAGTCGCTCAAATCCTCATGCTGCCCATTTTTCCTGCTTCTAACACATCAACTCTGAGGATAAAATGTTTACTTGCTGCCTAATGGTTCTGATGCTGAACTAAAAAAAAAGTAAAATTCTTGTACTTGGCCCCAGACACCTCCGAGACTCACTGTCTAAAGATATAGTTACTCTAGATGGCATTACCTTGGCCTCTAGCACCACTGTCAGGAATCTTGGAGTTATCTTTGATCAGGATTTGTCATTTAACTCCCACATAAAGCAGACCTCTAGGACTGCCTTCTTTCATTTACGTAATATTAGAAAAATTAGACACATCCTATCACAGACAGATGCAGAAAAACTAATCCATGCATTTGTTACTTCAAGGCTGGATTACTGCAACTCTTTATTATCAGGTTGCCCCAATAAGTCCATTAAAACGCTCCAATTAATTCAGAACGCTGCAGCACGAGTACTGACAGGAACTAGAAAAAGAGATCACATCTCTCCTGTACTAGCTTCTCTGCACTGGCTCCCTGTGAAATGTAGAATAGAATTTAAAATCCTCCTCCTCACCTATAAAGCTCTTCATGGTCAGGCCCCTTCATATCTTAAAGAGCTCATAGTACCCTATTACCCCACTAGAACACTACGTTCTCTAAATGCAGGGCTACTTGTGGTTCCTATAGTCTCTAAAAGTAGAACAGGAGCCAGAGCCTTCAGTTACCAAGCTCCTCTCCTGTGGAAACAGCTTCCAGTTGTGGTTCGGGAGGGAGACACCCTCACCACATTCAAGAGTAGGCTTAAGACATTCCTCTTTGATAAAGCTTATAGTTAGGGCTGGATCAGGTGAGTCCTGAACCATTACTTTTTGTTAAGTTAGAAGTTATTTATTCAGAGTTTTGAACAACAAGACTTGTGTGATGTTATACTGTGTTGAAATAAATTATCTAAATGTATGATGGAAGGTAGACAAAGCCTGAAAAAATACAACTTCGACACTGCTGTCTTTCTCTCTCACACACACACACACACACACACACACACACACACACACACACACACACACACACACACACACATACTACTGTGTCATTGAACCCTGACAATGACATGTGAAAGCATTGTACCCATCGTCCCGGAATGGTGGTGGGATTTTACGATACCGAAAATTCTGATACAGGAGGTGTTGAGTTTAAAAGATAAAGATATTTTTTTTCCATGTCTGTGACATATTCTACAGATATAGACATTGAAACTGTAGTGAAAGATGTATATGTTGCTGGTATATTGTCTACGGGGTATATAGGTTTTTATGAACAGACCCTTTTCACTGTCTATCATGCTAGGACCCACCTGCAGCTCGTGAAAAAAATAGGCCAGACTTCACCTCTCCTAGACAATCCGCCACGCACACACTTCGCTCACAAAGGCAGTGTGAACGAGCCATCAGAGCGAGGGATGTCGAAAGTGCGACTTAGTTGAAGGTACATAACATCCTCACATTGGAGATTGGAGCATGGCAGACAGGTTAAATGTTAACACAAAGTTTACAATGTTACCAGAAACCCCTGTTGATTTATAAATTGAATGAATGTGATATGAATAAATAAATGAATAATTTATTAGTCTAACCTTCGCTTTTTTGGCTATGGTTATACAGCATACTGTATGTCTGCACGCATGGACAACTATCAGTTTCCTTTAACTGTTTGGGTGACTGTGTTTTTGTTTTGATCACATTCAAAAAGGTATTCCGATGTTGTGAAATATCCTTAAATATGCCCACGCAAAGATGTCCTGGCTGAATGAATGCAGCCGATGAGAATTTATTTCTGCGTTATTTGTTTAAAAAATGAAAAAGAAAAATGTGTGTGTGTGTGTGTGTGTGTGTGTGTGTGTGTGAGATTCTGCCTCAAGAAATGTCAACGTAAATTAGATTTTCCATTAAATGTCATTACCCTCATACTATTCAAAGTTCCTATTTAAAATTGTCTTGATCTCTCAGTTGAGGAAGCCAGACATTATTCTATCACTATCAGAGTTTTTAAATGTTATTGATAATAGGCAGCAGGAGTATCGTAGTATTTCTCTCCTTATTTCTAAGGAAATTAATCATTTGTTTCTAAGAATATTAATAGCTTGACATTTCTCTGATGTAAGTTGACATTTGGCTCCCTTGATGACTGCAGAGTGTATCGCTCCTTAAAGCTGAATCTTTGTAGTTCTTAGATGTCAGGATTACTGGAAGAGATTGACACTTAAAATAACTGTATTAAAGACAGATCATATTAATGATACTGGCATCAGTTTTAAGACAACTATAAGATATGTTGTCTGTTATAAACACAATGATTAAGATCTCAGTATAAAGAAACCCCAAAAGGTAGTTCATTTTTTAATTCATTTTATCATGTTTCTTTATTACAGAGTAATGTATTTCTTTATTTTGTGATATTTATACAATGAGTTTACAGTTACATTGTTGGGGAACAATGTCATCAACAATGTAATTGTTGCAATCACAACTGCTTTTTGCTGAGCAGTCATGTCAAACATTTTAAAATTCTATTTCTTATTTAAGTTTTAGTTTTAAATGTGGTAAAGGGGGTACAGGGGTTTGAAGAAGGTTCATTTTCAACTATTGCCCAAGTATCGCACACCACTATGTATGTGGTGGGATCCCCGCTAAGAAAGAGGTACAAATTTTGTTTTCTTGTACTTAAAAAAATATCTTTTTTGTTTTAAATCAACAATTGGGAATTAGTTGAATTATATATATATATAGTGTAATTAATGAAATACTTGTGATCTTACCAGAAGACATTTTATTCAGAGGCAACTTTGAATATCTTTGAATCTTTTAAGACACCAGACTTCAGGTATGAATATAGTCTGATGATTGAGTCAGATATTAGGAGAATATAAATTGATTTATTTCATGGGTGTTAATTCAAGTCAACATCAAAACTTAAATTGTACATCTCAAAAGAATAACATGTTAATACCTTCCAGTGCAGTCAAAGAGAAAATTAAAGCATGAACAGATGTACATAAAAGATAAAATGTACAAACCTTTATATGCACCTTACAATCTATCAACAGCCATCAATGTAATAATCTCTTGAATCTGTAGCATGTCTAAAACATTTCTTACTGCCCACACATGTTTTTGCACTTGTACCACTTAGTCTCTTATTTGTGTTCACTTATTTATTATATGACCTGTCCTTTTTTCCCCCTTCAACCATTGATTTATTCGTAAATCCATTCAGATATACTGTATGTCTGATTAGGAATCATTTGGACACAAATGACAAATAGTTTTATAAATAGTAAGAGCCTCCATATACTGTCTGTCAGTTTTGTCAGCGTTCTTTCATTCTGAGACTGTATTTGTGAGTCTTGCTCTGAATGATATACATGTACATGTAACAGCTTATATCCATTTTTGGTGGGCGCATCCTTGGCGATATAAAGCTGAGCGGCTCATTCATCTGCCTCACTCTCTAGTCATGAGCTGTGGTGAAGATGTGGTTCCTCCTTCTCCTCCTCTACATAGCTCACATTGAGCTGGTGTACCTACAAGGCAAGTTACAGCTATTCTCTTCAGATTTAACTGTGTTTTTGCATTGAAATGAACAGTGGTTTGCCTGATTTAACACATTTTGAGGTTTTGAGGGTTTCATTGTAAACCTGCAACCTTTCCACAAACTATATTTAAGTCAATGTTAGCTATTTTTGGAAGGTAAGCACAAGCAGGTGCTGCCGGAAATGTCTCTCTGAATCAAAAAATTGTTATTTTTTGTCATTTCCTGAAAGTAAAAGATAAGGGGTTCTGTAAGTAATTGTTCTAATTATGTCTATAAGCAGCAATATAGCAACCAGGTTCCAGTCTCAGCATAGCGTTTGCTTAAACCTCATAAAGAGTTCAGTTTGACACAATTCATCCTTGTTGAGGTTTTAAAAACCTAAATTAAATACTCTTACAGTTTCGCAATCAGAAAAAATATTGTTACAGTTTTGTCAGCATTAGTTTGGATGACACTGGACTATTCAGCTAGGTTAGCGTATTTTCATTTCAGGTAAAACATCAATACTAATAATAATAAAACCAAATAATTGATTAATGATTCATCAAAAAATCTGGATTTAATGCTACTCTGAAAAATGGTATACTCCTAGAGCTGTCTAGTGTTGAAAAATATTTAGTTGCTGAATTTTCTTGATTTGTAAAAAAAAAAAGAAACCCATCCCAAAAGTCATAACACACATCCTGTCTCTGACAAAGTAATTGAGATTTAAGAAGTGTACAGGTAAGTCTCTATATATAGAAGTTAAATCAGGAGAATTAAAATAAAAAATAAAATAAAATGTTTTTATTAAAAAAATTTAAATTATGTTTAAGTCTGTGTAAAACAGTTTGTGTGATATTTGAATAAATTCTGATGCAACCTTTAATAGATTTTGATTAAAAGAAGAATTGACACCACGTTGCCATGAAAGATTTGTCTCATAGATTTTGTTGATGTTATTAAAGCTGTAGCTATTACGGCAGCAACGCCATCACCAGAAAACGCCCCCCCCGGTCCAATACCAGATCTTGCCGCTGTTCAGAATTTCATGACTTTGTGAATTTAGTTTTAATAAAACATAGATAGACAAAGTTACAAAAACAAACAAAAAATAAATATTGATATTTGGATATGGATATTTACATTTCTACTTGGTTTTTAATATTAGCATAAATTAATTGTATCTAAATATCATTCTAAAACCCTGCTTTGTAAATAAAAATAATATATTTTGTGAAGTAAAAAAAAAATAATAATCCTTTTTTATTACAGCACAGATCACAACCTTTAAAAGTTTAATACAATTTTACTCACAATCAAAAGTAATTTTGCCATAGAAACAGAAACAGGTTTAGACCAGGCATGCAAACACTGACAGCAACCTCAGAATTCTCACAAAATAAATGCATGAAGACTTTAAAACAAATACCCTATATTTACAAACCTCTACGAACCTCCTGCCATCTAACCAGGTGATGTGAACAGGCTGATTCTGAGAAATAAGAATGGAAGGAACCCGTGTGAAGGCCACATTGAAATCTACCATAATGGTGTCCAAGGCTACGTTGGGGATAAATATTGGAGCAATAAAACTGAAGAAGTGGTGTGCAGGAGCACTCACTGTGGGTCACCAGAGTCACGAGATCATAGTACGGACGTACTAAAACCTAAGGGGAGCAAAGTGTGGCTCAATGAATTGAAATGCGAGGGAAACGAGAGTCAACTGTGGAACTGTAAAAATCCTGGTTGGGGCGTCAGCAAGTGCTACCGAGATACAATTAAATGGATTAAATGTTCAAGTAAGGCTGATTTTTTTTTTATTTGTCAAGATACATAATATGTTATATATGTTGAGAAGTACACCTTTAAAATTCTCAATTCCATGATAATAATGATGAGAATATAATTGTCTGTTACTTGTTTTTACTCTTTTAGATGAAATCAATATAATGCTGGAGGGATATGAATGTGCTGGAATGGTCAAGTACTCCAGCGTCAATGAGAGGGGTTACTTCTGTTCTAATAACTGGGGTAAGAGTTAGCATCATGCATGACGTACACTTCCACAGGATTTACTGGCTACATTTACACCGCAAGGCTTGGTGCTCAATTCTGACTTATTGCTCAGATCTGATTTTGTTGTTTGGCCGTTCACATTATTTTTAAAATGAGGCCGATATCAGATACCAGTGTGAACGGGTCACATTCCTGAAGTGACCCGAATGAGTTCTGATATGATTCTTCACACTCAGGTTACATTGCAAAAATCAGAACTGAAAAGATTTGATTCCATGTGATGTGTGCCATTAAGAGTCAGCCAAATCAGATTTGGGTCACTTGTGCCTGCAGTGTGAGGGTATCCTCAGTGTTAGGACATTAAATGCAAATGAAATGTAATCACCATGGAGTGATGCAGGGTGCCTGTGAGATTAATATCACAGTACATCAGTGTAAAAAATCAAAATCAACCCATGAACAAAGTCAGGATTTTTGAAAAATTAAACACTAAAATTGTGTTTATTAAATGTTTTCTATATATACACATATCTTTGATATTCAACTTCAAGGTTCAAAGATATCAAATACTTGATTGTGCTCCTTGAAGTTTCAGAGATACAGCAAATTTCTTACATTTGTGTGTGCAATTTTTATTTATATGGATAAGGACTTAATAATTTTTTATTGCTTGTGGCATTTTCAACCGCTTTATAAGAAAACAGTTGTCCCAAAGACTGCATGATAGGAAAAACTCTTATTTCATTTAAAAATTTCAGTTGTGGGCACATGTGGGTTAAGCAGCATTTTACTGTTTACTGCTGCTCGAGGTGTAAGTACTAAAAAGTTAGGAGGTTTAATCCCAGTCTAGGGTCAGGCACCTCCAAAGGGTTACAAGATAAATCTGAGGGGTTGTATGGTAATTAATGGAAAAGGAAAATCTTAAAAATAGTTCAGCTGCACTTTGTACTTTTTTTGGTGAAATGGATAATAGTACGTCTCTGAGTCTCAGACAGTTACTCAGATGAAAGGAGGTTGGACGTTTAGAGGGGGAAATTTCTCTTTGATGGATCCGCTAATAACTCATCTAAAATGCAACAACAGACCTTTTTTGCCCAAGAGTCACAAAACAACAAACTTTAACAATGCATTCTATAAATTGATCATGTGTTTTTTTTTTTATGTGAAATCTTAATCTGAAAGTGAGTGACGTGGTAAATGGAGCAAAGCCTGCAAGCTAGTTCAGGCAGTCAACTTGAGCTGCGCTGCTATACACAATGACATGCCTTATTCCATAATCACTAACCAAGCCCACCCTTCTAATCTGGCGGTCTATTAAAGCTGCAAAATTTCCCAGCTCTCCCTCTGCTTTGTCAATGCCGCTGTTGCCTTGCAAGCTATTGCTACCTGCTGCGCTGTAAGCCCTACCACCACCCCAGCATCCACCTGTAGGCTCCGACTGGGGGTTAAGGTATTTGTGCATCACTCCCCAATATCTCTATGTAAACATATCTGCGGGGAGTGATGAGGTCGAAGCCGCCAAAATCTAAATATGTTATGCTGCTTTAATAAACATTTCAAACGTGAGTTGTCTGACTGAACTATAATAAAATGTACTGGACTAAAAACTAAAATATTTCCTTCTGAAATGTAGTTTAGTAGAACAAAACTATTTAAGTAGCAAAAAGTGGAAATACTCAAGGCTCAAATACAGTACATAATTAACTGAGTTACTTTCCATCACTGGCCAACCTTCTCAATAGGGAACACTTTGCTCTACCTCCTGAGCCCCAGCTGCCCCAGCTGTATTAACTGGCAGTGTAGCAGACATAATATAATATTAGAAATAACAAAAAATCTAAATAAATTCTCATTTTTGTTAAATCTTCAGGTGCCTACAACACTAGCTTTCATACTTTTTTAAACATACTATGTGTTTTTCCTCTCACATTAAGGAAACGATCAAGCAAATCGTTTATGTAAAAACCTTGGGTGTGGTGAATCCAAGGAGATTCCTAAGAAGGAATGGATGGATTTTAGCCAAATAAAAACCTCAAAGATGATGATGATCGACTGTTCAGGCCTTAATGAAACTAATCTGTGGCAGTGTGCAGCTCAAAAGGAAAAACAGAAATGTGAAACCCCTGCTACTGTCATCTGCACAGGTAGATCACACACTCACACACACATAAGTTTACTCAAGTGTAGCAACATGAATGTGAATTCAGCAAATGTTAATTGAAACAGGTTTTATGAGACTGCAACTCAAAGGAGATGAAGCAAGTGTCTGTTCTGGAATGCTTGAAAAGGAGGAGGATGGTGGCTGGAAACCCGTTGACAGCAGCAGCAAAAGCACTCCTGATGTGTGGTGCAAACAAATGGACTGTGGTACCAATGTCAGTAACAGTTTTAAGGGTAGGACACATCATCTGGAATGCTCAGGTAACTCAGCTAATCCATATTTAACCACATCTATTCCACAAGCAACCTCAAAGCAACCACTTTATTGTTGTATTTCCAGATCAAAACAATCTTGTCATCATTATCTTGTTTTCTCTCATATTATTGAAAAAATGTATATTAATTAAGTTGCATTCATATTTTACTGACCCACTATTTTGAACAATTTTAAAGCTGCAGTAGGTAACTTTTATAAAAAATACACTTATTGTCACATTTGCCAAAACTTTCACTGTATCCTTACAGTTACATGAGACAGATTATCTGTGAAAAAAATCAAGTTCCTCTGGTTCCTCCTAGTGCTCCTAATGGCATTTACAAGAATTCACCAGGCCTGAAAGAAGATAACCAATCAGAGCCGAGAAAGATAGTTGTCTTCTTTCAGGTCTGGTGGATTCTTGCAAATGCAGCATTGGGAGGACTATCTGTCTCATGTACTACTTATATAGTGAATATAACAAAAGTTATTTTTGTAAAAGTGTAGCTTTAAAATCATGAACACTTTCCTATTTTCTTATTTCCCACAGACAAGGTTCAAGTAGTTCTGAAGGACAGTCGTAAAATCAGCAAGTGCTATGGTGAAGTTCATATTCAAGTGAACGGTTCAGATTATCCTGTGTGCGGCTCCTCTTGGGACCTTAAGACTGCTGGAGTGGTTTGCAAGGAGCTAAAGTGTGGGGCAGTGAGTTTTCAATTTTAGTAGAAATATTTTATTTCATGCCAGCCTATGTAACTTTTGCTCACCAGCAGTCATTGTAGCCACAAGTGACATTTAAGAGTAATGCTAAATGCTAATGTGGTATATCAGTACATGTAGTAAAACTGGCTCAGCAATGTCAGCTATGCAGAAATATCTACTCAAAGTTTGCTAACAGCAAACATTAGCCACCACAAACTACTGGTCATAGCAGACCATGTGAGGCTGTAGCAACAAAACCCCTGAGTGTATTGAAGTTCTTTTTTCAAAAGTTACATCTTACATCTTGCTTTAAATGTATTAAAGAATAGTTTGACATTTTGCTGAGAGAAAATAAAATTCACTCTCAGGAGATGATTAGCTTAGCATAAAGACAGGAAACAAGCAGATTGGTGGCTGTTTTTTTTTTTACCATTAGGCAAGCTGTTACCCCCTGTGTCAGTCTCCACATTCCTGCTTCATATTTAGCTGGCGTCTGTAGTATCTTTTGACAAAAAAGCATATAAGGATAATACAGAAAATGTCAAACTATTCCTTTTAAATATTTTATCTATATCAACAGTTCCAGTGTTCTTTTCTTATTCTTATTCGTAGTTTGTCGAAACTGAGTGTTCTTTTTGAGTCAATCAGTTTTCTGTCTGGTACAAATCCTTGACATGATACTGAAATCATGAACAAATTCTCTCTTCTAGGTGGTTGATCAATATACACGTTCAGGAACACAAAGTGGCATCATGGACAATGTGGAGTGCACAGGCAATGAGTCGTCACTGTGGCACTGTAGGGGAAAGCATAACAAAAACGCTTTCCAGTGTCCGAAAAAAGCCTTCGTAGTCTGTGCAGGTGAGATATGGCAACAATTATATGGTGATGGTGTCTTCCTGTTCGTAATAACAATATTACATTTTTAAGTAATACCATGACCAGAAACTTTCATTTAGCATGTGTCTCATGTTTGACAATTTCCTTGCTGTCATGTTACAGAGAGTGTGAAGGTGAGATTGGCGGATGGTCCTGGACGGTGCGCTGGGAGAGTGGAGATAGAGCATGAGGGCAAATGGAAAAGGGTTTCTTCAGAAAAATGGGAAGCCGTCAATTCAAATATTATCTGCAATGAACTGGACTGTGGGGGAGCAAGATCTGGCAACTCTGAAACATTCAGCGAGGGTTCAGCTGAGTTCTTGACTAAAAGTGTATCCTGCAGCAGTGGAGCCTCTCGTATACATGAGTGTATTAAAGCGTCCACAAGCTCTTCACGCCCTGAGAATTCAATGATGATAACCTGTGAAGGTGAGTGTTTTTTTTGTTTTGCCATACACGCCATATTTCTTTGCCCTAATGGTTAATTTTTTTCTTTTCTTTAAAGCAGCATTAATTCATATATATTTGCCAGTAACTGTAAAAATAAATGAATTCCGCATCCGGCAGACACAGAGCAATATTAGCATCCATTTGAAGTTGTATTTCAGATGTTAGATGTCAATGTCAGATATTCAGTCTCCATTTAACTCTTCACCAACTCGTGAACTCTTGTTCACCAGCTATCTGAATCTATACTGTATCAACAAAAGATGCTAACCTTTGTAAATTTCACCTGAAAGAAGCCAGCTGGAAAGGTTATGAAAACCTCAGCAGGGTTTTTGGGGGGACAGAACATACTTAAACTAGTACAGCACATTTCAAACATGATATCACAGATCAAAATGTACTCAACTAAATACCTGAGCAGACCATTTTTCGACGTGGTTCCTTAAAAAAATGTGTCTCTTCAACTTACGGGTTCAGTTATTGTTTAACTTTAAAACTACATCTCAGTTTTTTCAGAATTTTTAGGAAAAAGTAAAAAAGTTTTTGCAGGGGGGTTGAGCCTAATAGAGCATGGACTGTGAAGGAAGAAGAGGACACCCTGGACAAGTTGCCAGCCTGTCACCAATCTAAGGGCCTGTCCTCACAAATACCCAGCCTCACCCAATACGATGTCGTCTCCGTAAACATATCTGCGTCCACAAGGATTCACTGAAACAACCAAAAACGCTGTAGTACATATGCCAGGCCTGTATGTGGTGCTGTGACGCCGCCACACCAATACACTAAAACCGGAAGAGAAGCCATGGAGCATGCGCTGTTTACAAACAAGTAGTAGTAGTCCGCCATTGTTGTTGTAGTTATGATACGTCTAGTGGCGGCAGCTGAGGTTAAAGGCTAGAGAGGCGGGGCTAATACGTCATTGTTTCGGAAAAAAACTTTTTCGCCGTCCAGACGACTCCGGGCAATCCGGCGTTTTTGGATTTTCCCACTCTGGGACCCGTTTCCAAAAAAATACCGTTTACACACCCCGAGAATGCCGTATCCGCCTGGGTGCGAGGCCGATACGATAAAGTATTTATCCGGAATCGAGAAATACGTATTCATGAGGACAGGCCCTAAATACGTAACTGGTTTTATTTTTTGTCCCTATCAGGTCACAAGGTGGTATTTCTGAACAATACCTGCTCTGGCATGGTGGGGATACAGCACGGCAGCAAAACCTACTGGCTCTCCGGGTCTAACAACACATGGAACCAAGAGTCTGCACACACTGTGTGCAAGCAGATGCAGTGCGGGGATGCCTACCCCTATGAATACATCCCTAGTGCTGATATGAAGAGAAATGTTTGGCAAGAATCTTATAACTGCTATCCCAACAACACGTCTCTGTTTGACTGTAAAAAAAATAAGACACTGCCATCTGACCACAATGACAGTATTGCTGTTGTGAAATGCTCAGGTAATGTCAGCTGCTCTTGAAAAATAATTGACCCTCCTAAGTCACGCTCTTTTATGCTCTTTGCTCCAGTTACAGTTTAGCAAGCCTCAGTCAACATTCTCCTTTCCTGTACTTAGATATGCAATGTGCAACACTGTAAAACCAGATAAGTTCATTTTACTCTAAATCTTTAGTACCACAAACTCAATCTTTTAGGTTAAAAAAGATTCTTGATTAACTACTAACTACTACTTAATCACTAACAGAAACATTCCTGAGAAATAATTTTCACCATACAATTAAATATTACAAAATGAAGTTATTCATTTAAATTACTAAAATGGCTTGATCAAGAATGTTTTTTTTATAATTAGGTTTACATAAAAATTTTGATGCAATCAGTTTCAAAATGTTCTGAGTTAAATGAACTGATCTGGTTTTACAGTGTTGGCTGGTCTATGTTGAAATGACAAACAAATTTGAAGATGTTATAAGATAAAATAACATATATAGTCACATCTTAAGTTAGTTAAAGTTAGCATAATGTTAGCTAGGCAACTAACTATAAATGGATGAAAATTAGCTAGATAGTTAGCAAGATAATTGGTTAACTAACATGTTGCATTATAGTGCATGTTATATCCTGACATGGTGCCTTTGCTCCATATTTTACCTTTGTCTCCCGTGCTGTGCGCTAGCTCGTCTATGCTGAAAATACAACCAGCTTTGAATATGGTAAAAAAAAAGATAAAAGCAACATATTAAGTTAACTATCTAACAATTTATGTTGTAACTGGCCAGCTAGTTATCTTGCGCTTTGCTAACATTAGCCATCAGCTGTAATTAGCTATAGCTAGCTATACTACTAGCTACTAGCATTAACTAACTTAATACATTGAAAATATCATGCATTTGTCTTCAGCTGGTCTAAGAAATGCTGTAGTTGTGAGATAATCTGCTGATGCAAGTCTGCAAACAACTCCTTCATCCCGTTTGCTTTTTGTTGTCACAACAGGAGCTATCAGTGTGAACCTGACCAATGGGTGTTGGGGGACTGTCAACGTTTGTGTGGGAGGGAAGTGTGGAGGTGTTTGCAAAGACTCCTGGACAAAAGAAAAGTCTGTGATGTTGTGTAAAGACATCGGCTGTGGGAATAAAATCCTAAGTTCCAGTCAAAAAAATGAAGCTGTCCCAATCGTTCGGAGTCTGCACACCACGACGCACACTACCAATCTGAGCCAGTGCAACTTCATCAAAAATGATGAATATGGTCCAAACGTTAATTTCAGATGTGAACTAGCCAGTGTCATTTGCTCAGGTAAGGAGTGTTTGTAAATTATGTATATTCAAAAAACATTTTAAAATGTGATCATTATCATAAAATGTCAGGTCAGCTAAATGCCTCATGCAATTCTTCACTAAATTTGGTACATTGAATAAATAACAACATTTTCATTGTTTCGTCCACTGTCAACACAGTTAGAAACAAACGTATGTGGAATAAGCACATATTAATCATTACTGTAAAATTTTATGTGCACAGCTACATGATCAATTGAAATGGTTGTAACTCAGTTGTCATGACACTGTCCTTGTTTGTTTCATTAAACATAACAAGTGACAAAAAGTACACATGGTTCTAACTTTGTACCTTTCATGGTTTTGTTGCAGACAGTGTCAAGGCCCGAATTTCTGCTTCCAGGCACAAATGTTCTGGAAATGTGGAAGTGCACTATGAAGGCACGTGGCTCCCAGTGTGCAGTGATGCTCTTAAAGACCAAAAAACACAAAATGCCATCTGTGAGGAAGTGAACTGTGGCCATGCGGTCAAACAGCTTAACTACTTCGGACCTACATCAAAAATAAAAAATGACATTACACAAATACAGTGTTCCAATAGTGACATCAAGTCATTAACAGAATGTGACATTGTTTCTGAGAAGCACGGCGACTGCCCTCTTGCTGGACTCCAGTGCTCCAGTATGTATAATGATTTTGTCTCAAATTTATCAGTGTCTTCATTATTCCTATAGCTACTCTGTTACAATTATATCTAGTTATTCTAGCTTTAGCATGATGTTCTGAAAAGATATTAAATTAAATAGAGAGAATATCACACAAGCTGTAGTTTCACAAAGAAAAAGATGGTTGGAAAAGTTAGGATGTGCTCAGCTCAATGTTTTCAAGCTTCACATTGCAAGCTAACTTCACCAGTTTGTGACCACAACATGTAGACTTTGAGCTTTTGCTGATCACATCAGGTTTTGTGAGTTTTGAATTTCCTGAATCTTATCTCCCCTGTCCCTGCTACTAATTGTAGACTGGAGTAAGATGGAGCTGAAATTTGACGGGGCCTGTAGTGGAGCTGTGTTTGCTCACTCGGAGACAGGCAGAAACGCCGTCTCCATTGAAGGCTGGACAAAAACTGAGATGGACAAGCTTTGCAACAATCTGGAATGTGGCAACTTAAAGTCAAACAGGACATATGTATCAGATCAAGAACAAAGTCAAACGTTGCCCTCGCAGAAACAGCAGAAAGAGCAGCTGTGGATTGAATGTCAAGGTAAAATTGATTTATGCAATATTGCTGTCAAATGATCGTAGAATCTTTGAAGTTGTATAAATTTGGCAACTACTTCACAATCATTTTATTGGCCAGAGTATATCAGCGGCTTTAAACTCCCCACAGCCACATACTGTAGCACTCCCCTTTACTTAATGAGTGCCGTCACTGACCTTTCATTAGCTTTGGTTGTGTGGTTGCTCAGAGAGTGTTCAACACTATCTGAAAGCGATAGAGTAACTCTGATGGCATTAATTTGATGTTTTCTCCAATATCCAGCCTTTAATATTTGATCTTGTTATTTTACTGCTTTCCTTCCTAGATGAGCCCAAGGTCACACTTTCAAAGAAATGTGGTGGTGAAGTGAGGATGAATAACATTAGAGTGTGCTCCAGTAACTGGAACCTGGACTATTCACACATGGTTTGTCAACAACAGGACTGCAGCAATGCTATTAACTTTACTATTAAAACAACAACAATAACGCAAGATAAATCCCACCATGTCAGCTGTGAGGGCTACCACCACAGACTTGGCCAATGCAGCAGATACGAGGACAATTGTGATGGTGGACTGGTGTCTGTTTTCTGTGTTGGTAAGTGTCCTCCTGTCACCTTGACTGAAGAAATGTCATTAATGTTATTTTAAATAGAGAAACTGTGTCATAGATTAGCTAAAAAAAGTTTTCACTTCATGATTCATTAGTGTTCTCTAGCACAGGTAGCACATTTGTTCGCTGTGTTTTACCATTTTTAGGGTTAATATCTGCTTCTACCCAGTGATTCTTATGCATTATATTTGATTTGACCTTAAATAATTTACTTCGTTGCCCATTAAATTTGTAATACATTTTTACTGTTGATGTTGTCAGTTTTTTGATTATCCTATGCATGTTGGAGTATATTTTTAACTCCCCATTTGCAGACAGATATGGGGATGTTGTGGATATTCTCAAGTAACTCCCAGAAGGAATAATTTCCTTAAATGTGAAATTATTCCTTTAAAGACTTTTTTAAAGTAGTTTTCTTTCTTTTACAGGCAGTGTCAAGGTCAATACCACAGAAAAATGTGGAGGTGTAATTCAAGTCAATTATATCAATGACAAGTGGGAAGAAGTGTGTCACCAAACATCTAACGATCATCTTAACAAATTGCTGTGTAAAGAGCTCGGTTGTGGTGATCCCAGAGACAAAAAACCCCAGAAAAAACAGAAAAGTAACCGAAAGAAATCAAAGGTAAACCTTAGTATTAAACTTTTGTCCCACTCATTATTCTGTGTTGTCACTTGTGTATATTGCAAATCTCTATTATTTTGTATTGCTGCACAGAAATGTATTACTCTAAAGACAAGTTTGAATTTCACTTTCAAGGTTACACTAGAAACAGCACTGAATTGTACGAAGGATCATAAGGACATTAAGTACTGTGTCAATCGATTGCGGTGTGATACAGAAAAACCAGCTGAGATCTACTGTGAAGGTAACCATCCTTTCCAAAAAGTCTGGTTCCCAAAGTAGCATTAGAATCAGCTTTTTGTATATTCTGTATTGTATTGAACACAGAATAACTAAACGAATCAAGTACCAGTCTCACTCCGTGAATAAATGCATACTGTGGCTGTGTTTAATTTCAGGGTATGTTGACATAATAGATAAAGATAAACCCCAATCAACCCCCGTAGTGCCTATTATCCTGGGAGTAGGATTTCTTCTGTTTCTGGTGATACTGATTGTTGTATTTGTACGAGTCTACATTGCCAAGAAAGGAAAGAAGTCCATGAATGTCCCGTGTGAGTATATTACCCTATTCTGTTTGCGAGTTAAAATGAAATACTGATTGATGATTACAATTTTAATGAATTACCTTGAAAAAGGGCACCATTCCAACAGACTGAAAACAAAATGAATCTATTTAACCAACCTGATCATCCCATTGTAATGAAAAAAGGTGAACTGGAGCCATTTGGCCACAAGAGGCCAGTCTTTTTCTGTCCTGAATAAATATTTCCCAGCATTTCAGCTCTAAGGCGTTCAAATATCAGTGCTTCAGCTCTGCTTACCAGTGCTTGCTGGAACAAAAATACCTAAAGAGCTGTAATGTGTGTTGTTTACTTACTTGTGCTGTCCTCTATATCACGTTAGTGTGAAACAGGTGTTTGTCAGTTAACGCAGGGGGAAATGGGGGATCACTAAAGGAACATCCTATCTTATCTAATGCCTAATGCTCTTTCATGTAGCGAGAATGTTCTCAAGACAAGAACCAGACCTAGAGTTTGATAGCGGCGACTATGAGGATGTCACAAACAAAGCAAATGAAATGGAAGACTTCAGTCGTGGCAGTGAGTCTCAAAACACATTCATTCACTTATTTTATTTTTATGTACTTATTATATATCACCAGTATTATGACTACAATGGGAAGAGTAGTACAATATTAAAATATATAATACTATTTATTTTAAATGGTATTTTATTACTTATATTAGTATATAATAATACCATGTTACTACTGTATAGCTATTATGCTTTTATATTATCATATGTAGGCTATATTCCATATTTCCATCCTCTTTGATATCTATTATATATACTTTAAATTATTGTAATATTACTGTATAGTGTTATTATTATCATAATATATATCTTTTATATTCATACCTATACCTATATACCTTATTTTACTTTATACTATATATATAGTAGCTGCCAGAGATGCACTACTGGATTTCTTTGACACAGATATTTGCACAATTCACTTTGACTGCATTCTAGTGTATTGTAATATTGTTCAGTGTCACCTCTTACCATTATTTTAATCTCTTTTCTTAATTTTTTTTTTCAGACTTGTAATAAGGTGAAAATATCTTGAGTTTATTTTATTGCAGGAGCAATGTCTGCAGGATTTTAAAGTCTGAAATCCAATAATCTGAATTTTTAGGTCTTGAAATGTCTTAAATTGTCTTAAATATCTTTAATTTTTTAACAGGTCTTAAAAATTATGTAAAGTAATTACAGTTACTTAGTAAAATTGTAATGATCATGCTGTGATAACTACAAAACGAATCCGACCAGCAGTCTTTCTTTATATCCTTCATATTATTTTTGCCAGTATGGACATAAAATAGGTTCTGTATTGCATTCATAATGGTTTTAAAAATTCTTAAATTAAACCTGTTGAAACCTGCAGAAACCTTGTAATGGTTTCATGTTTACATAATGGAAATGCGAGGCATGTGATTTGTAAAGTAGGACAATGTGAAAGTGTTCTGCTGCTGTTGTTTATGCAGGGTTTAGATCAGAGGCTGAAGTCATCATGGAGAGCGACGCGCGGAGCACTTCCTCTTTGCCTTACGATGATATTGATGAAGTGGTTGAGACTCTGCCGTTGACCTCTCAGGCCTCAGGAGGCCGCTACATCCATGATGGCGCCCTAGATCAGAGCTCAGGAAAGTTTTGAACCTGTTTAATCCCATCTTGTCTCACGTTTAAATGCCAGTAGTTGACAAATTATAACATCTTCAGCAATCAGACCAAGCAAATTTTAACATGCAACTTTTTTTATCCTTAACAGACGGGGTGACCTACGAGGTGGATGATCCACAGGAGAGTTACGATGACATTGAAGCCGGCCCTGAAATCACTCAGACTGAAGCTGAAGTCCACGACAGCCACCAAACCACACCTGAAAGTGTCACAGCCACACCTCCGGGGTTGATGCAGAAGGGGGACGAGGACTACCTGGTGCCAGGCCAAGATGGGTGAGGAAAAAACAGGTCTAATCTGGAAAAGTGGATCACCCCAAAACCCACCTCTTTTTTTTTTCTTTAATGGCAAAACTATATAATTGCATCCCTAGAAATTGAATCAACCATAATCTGAAATACTGACAATGTCAAGTCAGACAAGATTGTACCGTTTATGAAAAGGCAAACAGACATGTTTTACAGTCTTACATGTTCCCTGTATACACAGAAAATGTAATCTAATGTGTACTGCTGATGTGCGTACACTCCAGTGAGACTAAGTTTGCTCTATCTGTGTATTGTTAAATGTACAAATTGTTGGCCTGCCATCAAATCACAGGTAAGAAACATTTATTTCTCGTTAAATGTACAGTAGAGTGATAAGAACATTTCTTTTTTTTCCTGTCTAAAGTTACTGACTGCTTTCTGCTTGTATGCAACATACCCAGAATGTTTTACAATCATATATATTGTTTTTTTGATTCAGCAAAAATGTAAGAAAAATCTTATCTTATCGCATATTTAGTAGTAAAGCTTCTATCATTTCCGCAATATTTTATGAGAGATTACTTTTGCAGTAGTGTGTCAGTGTACCTGTCCATTGCAATCAATCCAAACAACTATATAAGCAAGGCTTCTAGTAGTCATAAAATTAGCTCCATAAGAAAAAATGAAATAAATGTTTTATGAATCAAACTCCTCTTATAACATGGCTGACACAGCAAACTCAGGTTATATTAGCACATGGTTACATTGTATATTTTTCAATTTATAGGCTTTGTAAGAATGTATAACATGAGATTTCACTGTCACACATGTTTTTGTACAGCAATAGTTTATTATATCAAGAGATTGATATCACTCTCATGTGTACGCTAAATATGAACCATCTTATGACTCCAGTTTTATATTTAGCTTACAGGTATGACTTTTTATCTAACTTTTGGCAAGACATTTAAAAATATTGATTAAAAATGTTTATAATGTACTGTTAGCACTGGTTGTCATATTTTATTATTTGAGTGTCTTCAACAACAGTGTAGGTGTTGTCAAATTATACTTAAAGCTGCAGTAGGTACCTTGTACAAAAATTACTTTTTGTCATATTTGCTGAGACTTTCACTATATCCTGACAGTAGAAAATGAGACGGATAATTGTTATTGCAAATGCCATCCTAGAAGCACTAGGAGGAGCCAGAGGAACCTGATTTTTTCTGTCTCATGTTGTACTGTCAGGATATAGTGATCATCAACAAAAAACCTGTTAACTGTCACTTATGATGTCGTTCATGGTGTGTTATTTTTAATTCTTGTAAAGTTGCTGTATATCTTGCTACTGCAAGTTACACTTCAAAATTCAATACAGTCAATGCATGTTAGCATCAGCCGTGCAGCAATTATTTTATCTTATGGCACTGGAGCAATGATTATTTGTATGTCTGTATGGAATATCTGTAGCATGTGTGAGCCTTGTGATAATAGCAGTTTTTTGTAGAAACATTAAATTCTTTACAGAGACTTTGTGTATTCTCTTTGTTACCACTTTTAGGTTTTATCCTCTACTTTAAGGCCTGTGAGACTCCTGGGTTTTGGAAAACGGCTCAGATGTTGAGTATCAAACTGTATGTTATAGATGTCATATATAGTTTGATACACAGCACAATAAGCCGTTTTCTTCACAAAACATCATTTGTAGAGTGACTCAAGACTGCCTGAAATTCACTGTTACTTTAACAATGCAATAATGTCTTATGTAGCTATCAAGTCATTTTTCATTGATTTATTTCAGTTTGTTGATTATTAAAGGTCCAGTGTGTAGGATTTAGTGGCATCTAGCAGTGAAGTTGCTTCACCCTCCCTTTCCAAGTGCAAGGGAGAAACTATGGTGGCTGCCAAACACCCGAAAAATGCAAATGGCCCTATCTAGAGCCAGATTTTGGTTTGTCTGTTCTGGGCAAACCAATGGCCTGGCTCATTCTAAGGTAATGGAAACAAAAAATGTCTTATATACAGGTGATTATACACTAATGAAAACAAATCTATTAATATAACATTTCATTTCTACCAATAGCTCCTCCTAAATGTGGCACACTGGACCTTTTATTGATTGTTGTGTTTTGCTCTGTCTGTACCCCTCAAAACCAAGCAGTGCAAGAAATCCAAACGCTCCCGCTCTGCTCGAAACATTCAAACAGTTTCATCTCCATGCACTTTAACATTCTCTATAATCTCAACATTTCCCCCCAGCGAGACATGGAGAGAGGGGCAGCTGCTCGCTACAAATGTTAACATAAGTAAGGCCATCCGTAAGGGACTGACAGACATACTAGTGCTGCTTTTAAGAGATTGACAGACCTGCTAGAGCCTCACATGTTTAGTCAGGAGTTAGCCAAGGGCCACTGAGATCACAGAGCCAGTGATACACCCAAAGGGACTAATTTGTAAGCAGCAGCTCTCGTATGATATGTTAACATCACACCCAGCCACGCCGTCAGAGGCCTTGCTGAGGGATCATGATGTAGGATTAAGTCTGCTGTGTGGCTGAAGCTGAAATAGATACAGCGGATACATAGTGATCTATAAGTGAAAGAGGTAACTTTTTTAGTCTCAGGTGCCACTTCTCCCCAGCAGGACCTAGTGAGGCCCATCATGACTACGGGGGACCTCACAGGGAATAGTCCCAGTCAAAAATCTGTTTTTTTACTTTTTCCTACAGTTGGATGTTTGAGCTAATATATTAACATATTGTATCTGTTATATCCACTGTGTTCACTTTTGAACACATTTGGAACATAAATGATGGTGTTGATGAAGGGGTACTTGAGTTCACTTGAGTGAGTGTTCTGTGGAGGTATGTTAGAAAAAACGGTAGCATTATCATTGTTAGAATTAGAGAATTATTGATTTTTAATGGGGTTTTTTATGTGACTTAGATAAAATCTTTACACTTTGGGGGCTCCAGAATTATTTGGATGCATAATTGGGCTTATGATGGTTAATAAACCAAAATAAAAACAAACATTTAAAAATCCTAAGCTATTAGCATTATAATGCTGTATAGCATGTATAGCATTTTTTTTTTTGTAAAGTTATATTTTTGGCCTTTTCAGGCCTTTGTTAGATAGAGACAGCTGAAGATAGACAGGAAAGGTGGGCAGAGAGAGAGGGGATGACACGCAGCAAAGGGTTGCAGATCGGACGCGAACCCGGACCACTGCAGCAACTCTGTATATGGGTCGCCAGCTCTACTGACTGAGCCAACCGGGAGCCCCGAATGCTTACATTTTTGTAATGATGTAAAGTTAACTTAAAGAAAAAAAGTGAATGGAACAAACTGGAATTATAATACCAATACTTAAAATATTGCAGAGTGCAGACTTAAAACAAATGAGTTGCTTCAACAATTCATTTTTGTGTTAGGTTTAATTCATGTGAATGCTTGACTCCAGTTGTTTGGGGGGAATAATTTATGTTAACCTTCTTCTTTTATTTAGATGCTCTTTCAGGTTTTACAGTGTAGTACAACCTCACAGAGCCGCTAGCATGGCTATAGACTCCTGGTCTTGTTAAATTTTGAGTTGATATTCCTACCTTATCTTTGTCACCATTTCAATACTGGAAGAAAATCCACTTGCAGACATTTTACATTGTTGTAAACCTTCAAACCGACTGTTCTGCTTTTGTTTCATGGTAATGAAACTGAAAATGCTCTGAGAGTGAAATCACCGAAATCACTTTAGACAAAATGTTTAGCCAATGTATCTGGGCTTCCCATCCTCGTACAGGGGCTTCAGAGAAAAAGTATATTTACAAAAATGAATCGGAGGATGTGATTGGACTGTTGGATTTCAGCTCAGTAGGAGGTGACAACAAAAAAAAATAATGTTGTAACTACTTATTAACTGTAATATTATTAATGAAATGTATCAGCAATTAGTTACTAGTCACTACTAGTTGCATGGGAAAGTATTGTTATTACTGTAATATTACTAGTAATGAGTTACTGCCCAACACTGCAGATCAATGTTGATAAAAGTTTCTTTAGGCACCTCATGCTGGCTCATCCGTAACAGACAGACAGCTGGCCCCAGTTGTGGTGACTTTCCATAACAAACAGAGTGGATTTATTAATAGTGCTCCCGTGTGTATATGGTCATCCAAAAAGCCTGGATATCTTGTCTTCAGCTCTCTCTCTCCCTCTCTCTCTAAGTGTGTGAAGGAGAGAAAGGTGCATGATGTAATCCACACTGGAAGCATATGACTTCTTAATAAACAGCTGGTCTTTTTTTTCAACCTGTGCTCTACACTAACAGTAACGAATCATTCTATCCTATTACCACAAGACAGATGGCTTTGTATGTGATGAAGGATTAGTAGCAAATAAATATTGAGAAACAGGGCAGTTTTTAGGCATAAGTGATGTAGGCGGTGCCATGAGCCAGAGTAGGAAAGAAGGAAAATTATTTTGTAATTAATTATAGACAGTCAGACTGTCCTTCTAAAATTCTGTCATAATGGCATCTAATGACTGCATTTCCACTTTGCTATTTTAAAGGTCCTATGTGTAACATTTGGGAGGATCTATTGTCAGAAGTATAATATAATATACATGTTTTCATTAGTGTATAATCACCTGAAAACAAGAATCATTGTGTTTTTGTTACCTTAGAATGAGCCCTTTTTATCTACAGAGGGAGCGGGTCTCCTAGAGGCCACCATGTTGAACTGCCATGTTTCTAACGTAGCCCAGAATTGACAAACCAAACACTGGTTCTAGATAGGGCCTTTTGGGTGGGTGTAGCAAGGGGTTGTAATCAGCAACTTCACTGCTAGATCCTACACATTGCCACTGGTCCTTTAAATATGGGAATGCTGGAAGCCAATTGCGCTTCATGCTGTATTATGTGAATGTGTGATTGTGCTGATACCTGTACCTCTGTTAGAATAGGAAGGAGTTTTGGAAGTTGCAGAGATTAAGACCCCTTCTGCACAGATGAGAAACCTGGATAATGTTAAAACCATGTGTGCAAACATACAAATAACCTGATTACTTATGTTTCATGTAAACAAACCAGGATAAGACTCATAACTGGATTCTAGATGCATGGAACATACTCATTAACAGAGTACCTGCTGTTGATGATACGAACAGTTTATATGCAGACAATACCATTCTGCACTGTGGGATTCATTTATATAAATAATAATGATAATAATAATAATAATAATAATAATAATAATAATAATAATGTGTGTGTGTGTGCTGTTTAATTAAAGAGTATATAATGAGCTGTATGTATAGTAGCCATCAATAAGAACAGCTTTAAAGTTGCTTTTTCAGGTTTTCAATTTATAAGTCCCACAAATTCACATTTATAAACAGTACACATTTAATAAATGTTTTTTATAACACACTGAAATTTAGTTGTAAACAGAATGTTTATTAGAGGTGATAATTCATGTATTTGTCAACAACTATAACTCCTCCTGTGGGCACCAAAGTGGAGGCTGCTATATAAACAGATAATGAATGAAAATTATAGTTATAATTGTTGACAATTACTGTACAATAATAAACCAAATCCACTTTTATCTGTTCACAGCCACAAATAGTGTGTTATATATTAATTTAATGTTTATATACAGCTTATAAATGCAAAATATATTACAGTTTTATCAATGTATTCTATTCCATTTGGACGTGATGCTGTTATAAATGTTGGGAGCATTAATAAATGCTAATGGGTTTCTCACTATATAATATCACATCCAGTCTGCAGTTGTAAAAGTTGTTAATGAATAAATAAACACTTTCCTGACGAAAGTAAAACTTAACTTAAAGTTAAATCCGGTGCTGGAAGAGGATAAATGGCAGCAACTTATTTTTTTTTCACAACCTGGCAAATTAAGGCTTCAAACTGCTCTCTAAAACATTAGTAAATTATGTTTGTCATAATTGTTACATTTTCATGTAAGCAGAGCTACTCCACAATCTTTCAGCTGTCATTTAACTGTAGAAGAACCCCTAGCTGGGAATTATTAGGCGCCAAAAATGTCAGAAATGGCTTTTACCAGGACGTATACTTATCTAACTCAGTGCATGATGATGTACTAACATGCTTGTTAAGGGTGCATGTATCAGAAACGTGACAGCTATGTAGATAAGGTAAATAGGAGAGTCTATCAGCACAGTGTCTTTCATAACAGCACGAAACTATCTTTATTTGGCAGGCGAAGGAAATCCTGTGAAGATAAGATATAGTTTCCTGGAAATTATACTCTGCTTATCAGTTTAGCATTAAGAGTTTGTACTGTTAGATTCGACAGAAAAGCACAATCTCTCACTCATATGCAAAAAATCTGCATTGAAAAACTTAAAAATATATACTTCGGTTGTAAATGCCTTGTTACACAGAATAGGCATGCAAAACATTATTTTAATCTTTTTAAACACTGGGTCTGCTATGTGTGGGAACGCCAACACAGATAGCTGGTGAGTCAAATGCCAACACAGGCTTTGCGGTTGGATTTACTGTGGCTGTATTAGTGTTTGTATGACAGGTCTGGATGTGCCGTTGGGCCCAGGGGTCAGCTGAAAGATGACCCTGGTTAGTGCAATGCCCTAAATACGTTCTATCGAGCAGGTTCAGGGGCCCGGGCCAAGTTTGGGTCTGCCCTCCTCGGGGGGTGACGCTTCTTGTCCTGAAAGCACCTGTGGCGTCCTATATGCCCAAACAAAAGCAGGACATCCATCAGTGGAGAGCCAGCTGTGGCAGAGATTATTCAGTGTAAAGGGGCTGAAGAAGGTCGGGGAAGGGAAAGTATCTAACTTCAAAGAGGGTAATATGATATCTTTTTATTTTTATTTTCCATCTGCAAGCTCTCACAGCATCATATACAACTGTGTAAGGGAGATGGCGTCACCTGTGCACACTGTGCAACACTGACTTGTAATATATGTATTATTTATGTATATATTGTAATTCAATCAAACTGTTAGATGTGTTGCAGTTGAGGACAAAAGTTATCAGTGAACTCTTGTCATTAATGAACACGTTCATTTCACAAAAAAAGACATCAAATTATACATACAGTATGTATCAAAGTTAATAATGTAAATGATCTAAATAAACAATCCACAGTTCAAAGTCTAAACTATATTTATGAGTTGTTATGAGTTATATGCAGCAACAGAGGAGAGCCCTTAAAAGAACTGCAGTTTCACTCCAGATGATGTTAGGCTGTAAAAAAAAAAGTGCTGCATGGTGCTTGGAGATATCTGAAAACACTAACTGCTGTCCACAAAAAACCTGTATTACTTCCTCTACACCAGTACAAGTTCACACTGTTGTACTATTCAGTACTACATACATGTAAATCATTCTGAACACTGGTAAAAAGGTTAATATTTTACTATGTAATTTTCATTACACATAGCTTTAAAGTAACACAGTGCAAAATATGAAGGGTTCATGTGCTGCCATGAGCTGCAAAACAGCTGCTGAAACAAAAATAATGTTGCACTGACTTGAGCAGAACTTACAACTGGAGAACTAAAAAAAAAAATACTAGAAAATAAAGACAAGAAACAAAAATGGTTCATAAACCTGATGCTTAAAAAATGCCCACTTCCATAAATGTGGGCGACTCACAAGATACAGATTTTAAAAGAACGGTCCCTACTTTTAATCCTGAATATGGATCAAGCTCCAAAAACATTGGATTCTACATTCCCATAATGCAACTCCATGCTGCACTTTAAACTCCATGTGTCGAGTTTGTAACACAGGCTTTCTGTTAAAAAGTTTAAAGGTGAAAACCTAATCCACATAAACCCAATCACATTATACTGGTTACTTCTCAAACTTTGGAAAGCTCCCTCCAGAGCCACATACCACAATATACTACTGTTTTTTAAAACATATAATTATCTATAAGATATGATGCCTTATTATGAACTAATAATAACAACTGACCTGTTAGAGAGCGCCGGGGCCCCTAACAGGTCAGTTGTTTTTGGGCCCCTGTTGCTCCCCTCCTTCTTTACATACCCAAGACCCAGAGACCAACAAGTACTGCTATGCTGAAGTACTGCCTGGTCCCATGTGAGTGCAGTGTAAACTACAACTACAATTTGACTCAAGGCCCCTCTACAAAACAAGGCCACAGAGATTAGGTAATAAGGGTCTGCCTTGGCTGACATCGTACTTTAGTGGTGCAAGTATAAAATAGTTAAAATCAGCTCTATCTTTACAAATCATACTTACATTTTGTTTCATATCAGTATGTTAATTCATTAATGTGTTAATTGAGTTGTAATTCTGCTTATAACACTTATGTACTTTTATACAAGTAACATTTTGAATGCAGGACTTTCACCTAAAGGACCAGTGTATAGGATTTAGTGGTATCTTAGTGAAGTTGCAGATTGCATGCAAACTGAATACCCTTCGCCTTCCAAGCGTGTATATAAAAACGACTCATTCCAAGGTAACGAAAACACAATGATTCTTATTTTCAGGTATACACTAATGACAACATACCTATGAATATCGTATTCCATTTCTACCAACAGAGCCTCCTAAATCCTACACACTAGTCCTTTAAGTAAAGACAGGAACTCCAACATCTGTGGACTCTAGGACACAAGCTTTAGAATAATGCGTCACCCCTCTATATGATGTAAACACCATATGTGACGTCACTGCAAATCACATGCCTCATACCAGGCAGCTAGGATTTAATGTCTATATTGTATATTCTACATTCTGTCAAGGCATACAAAAGCTATAGATTATATAAAAGAGCAGTCTTTTATTAAGTATCCACTTCACCATGCCCATGATTATTCCCGGAGGCACTAACTTTTTCATTTTCTGCTGTCTGCTGCTGCCCAATAGCATACACCTTTTTAAGCCAGTCCTTCTCCACATACGCTCTCACTTCCCCCACTGTACACCTTTTTCCTGCATCCAGAGCCAGGAGTTTACCAAACATCTCCATGGCTTCTGGAGTGAACCTTTTCCACAAAGGAGGCATGTCCTCCTCAGTGTTAGGTCTCTCCTCCATTCTGCACCAGTCTGCAAACTCCTGGTAGAAGTCATCCGAGTCCATGCAGCGTTCCCAGGGGAAATAACCTGTAAGGATGCAGAAGATGACCACCCCGAAGGCCCAGGTGTCCAGGCTTGGCTCCACACTAAGCGGAGGGGCGGTCACTTCTTTTTGGCCTTCCATCAGGGCTACGGTGCAAAGCTCCGGGGCCATGTAGGGCAGGGTTCCCGTGATGAAGCGTATTAGAGTGCCTCTCTTCTGGGCCAGACCAAAGTCTGCCAGCTTGACCTGGCAGCAGTGATTGTCCAACAGGAGGATGTTTTCAGGCTTGACATCACGGTGGACCAGGCCATGGCTGTGGATGAACTCCAAAGCACTGGCGATCTGGAGGACACAACGTTTTACCGAAGATTCCGGGATACCCACCTAGAACCGTCACACAAAGCAGGAATAGGACTTTTTGTGCTGTTTGCAAAGGTGTCAGAATAAACACTAGGGATGATCGAGTTCACCATGGTCTGTATCTTTATCTGTCCAACCAACTAAATTTTCTGTATGCATATCCATACTCGGAGTGGACGGGACTTAAACCGGATTTGTGTTAAACCAGTGTTTTTTGATCACAGGAACAAGAAAGCCATTTACAGAACAACTTTTTAAAAAGTTGAAGATCTATTATCAAGTGCATATATTGACACATTTTACTCTGATGATACTAAAAAGTACGAGTATCTATACCAGATACTCATTTCGATTGAGTACTCCTTCAACCCTATTCAACACAACCTCACAGACCTCCTAGATGACTGTAGTATCGGTTTCATAGGCTTGTTTTGCCGGTGTTTGACTCACCTTTGGCTGGATGACAGCAAACAGGTCCCTCCCAATGACAAGCTCTTGGGCAAAGCAGTAGTGCTCATTAGACTGGAAGGCAATGCCAAAGAGGCCCACGATGCAGGGGTGACAGGACAGGTGTAAGGAGATGCAGTACTCTCGCAGAAAGCCCTGCAGCTTAGTCGAGGCTTTGGGCATCACTTTCAAGGCCATGGGAGTCCCTGCAGATCATCCATACTTCACTTTGGCTATTAGTATCACTGGTCATGCACATCTGCAATACTGTGCTGATATTAGGTATTCGCTGTTTAATGTAAAACTGATCTAATATATCGTAGCATGGCTTTTCTGCAACTACCAGGTCACCCCACCACTGAACCTCCAATGGTTTTCAAATTCAAAGCCTCCATGCATCGAGCCAGCCAGCCTGTTGCCAGCTTGTGCTCTGCATTCTGCTCTCTCTTTTATCTACACTGGCCCGGTCATTGCTCCACTTTGGCTTGGCTTTTTTCCTCTCAGGGTTTGAAGTTCTCATCCAGTCAGGAGAGTGAGAGTCACCCATCTTATCTTTTTCTTAAATAGTACCCACCTCTTTACCTTCCAAATTTATTTCCAGTTGCTAACTTTGTCTGCTGTTAAGCAATCCTAAATTCTAAAATGGGCTTCAGATCAGCAAATGTTAAAGATTATATGAGCATTATCTTATTTCTGTAATTGGTAAACAAAGAGATAACTCTGAGGTCATTCGAGATCAGAAAAAGAGCAGTCATACCCCTGAAGCGGTGCGTGACCAGCAGCACTTTGCCGTATTTTCCTCGGCCGATCTCCTTGATGATGTTGAAGTGTTCCTGGATCTCCAGGTGACCAAGGCTCTGTGCCGTCAGCTCCATCAGCTCGTCAATCAGGCTGCCATCAACAAGGCCTAGCTCGATCATCTTTACCCACACACGGACAGGACAATCAACACATCACCACTTTACAGTAAATTAGAACTGTCAGTTGCTTTCCATTTATATGAAATAGTCACTAAATCACTGGGTCATTAACTGTAGAAACTTGAAAATGACAGTCTGCTTCCTCAGAATTACTTGCGGGATGGTTCGATAGCTTCGAGAAACCCTTCCCGCCACACTTTTCCGACTTGGGATTAGGGTGTGCTGTGTCCGATCACTTATGTTACCTTCCAAAATTGGCTATGTGACATTCCTACCCACTTCACACCATGATTGCTTAGAGTTTGAATTTCTCCCTCTAGCTTTTTTTTTTTTGCCACAATGTCTGTCACTTTTCACGTGAAAAACCCAGTACAACACTCCAAATGTCTTCCAGATGGGACTGAAAATGTGCGCTGTTATTTCCATATATATATGTATATATATATATATATATATATATTTTTTTTTTTTTTTTATTATTTTTTTTATTTTTTTATTTTTTTTACTTACTTTATTAAACACTTTTGATTTCTAAAGTGATCGACAACACATCGTACAAACTAAGGCTGTTCGAGCATAAAATGTACATATTTATGCCACAAAAAGCACAGAATCTCTTAAAGCATTCCAGTATTTTCAGATACAATTTTTATATAAAAGCATATACAAAGCACATGTGAAACATACGTTTTATGTTTTTTTCATTAATTTAGAAATATGTCCCACACTTTGCATTTGCCTCAGTCCTTAATAAACATTTAAACAAAATTAAAATGTGCACAAATGCCTCTGTAGGACAACAAGGGTCTGATTGGGTCCTACTCCAACTGGCCTGATATTTCTCAGTTACATATTCTATTTGCACAATTTTGTAAACCATACAATGTATGTAAAACATAAGTGTATTTATTTTTTCATTTATGTAAGAAAGTTTCATATCTTACATATACTGCAAGTTTATGTTATGGTTATTTACAAGATTTGGTGACAAGCTAAGCGAAGCTTAAACCACCACTAACAGGCGTATTGGTGTGTAAGACGTATACCATCTAACAGCCGTGTCCCCAGTTTAATTCCAGCTGAGGACCAACAATTAAAGGAAGTCTAAAAATAGTAAGTTAACTTCCATTATTGCCCTCAATACGTATCATCTATTATGACTTATTAATCCTTGCTATTTTTATCTCTTTTTCTGTTTAACTGTGCTTGTAGAGAACTGCTGACTTTCTTTCTCTGGCAAATGCCTCTGTAGTCCCATGAGAGATGCAGAAAAGCTTCTTTCCAAAGGTCCTCTGACCTTTTTATGTCCTCAGCCTTGTACAGCACATCCTCTTCTGCTAATTAGGTTTAGGTTTAGTTTTCTTACAGTTGTACATATGTAAATTTTTGCACATTTATATCTAATTTAATTTCATAATTTATATCTTAAACATGTATCCTTTAACATTTATAAGGTTTAGGGTTACGGGGTGTAGGGTTTTTATACTTGTTTTTATTTTTTATTTTTAGTACAGCCTAAATGAGTAGGCCACGCTGCATTTCACTACATATAGTGCTAGTGTATATATCAATTAAAACTTTGAATCCTTAAATAATAATAACAACAAAGTGTAGAAAGACAAAAACATGATCAAACTTTATGTTTGATCATTTCAGCATGTTTCGTAGTGGTCATTTGTATGTGATTGATTAAAAAATACACTGAAATATTTTGTTATAGTAGCAGTATTGGATATCAGTCCATATAAACCATGCTAAGATATTGATCACTTACTCCAAGTCTTACCTTTTTACAGTTGGTTTCCAATACAGTCACTGGAGTCTGAAAACAGGAAAACCAAAACACACAAAATGACTGACAGTCACACCACCATGCTGACAGCTGACAAAATACAGCTAATCAATATGCTGTAGCAGTGCAGGTTGAATGTCTGTCCTGTCCGACCTCCACCCTCGCTGCTGCTGCTGTGTGGATCAGCATGTAGAGTGGACCTGAAAGCTTTTCACTGCCCAGAAAGCAACTCTGTGCTCGACTGCTGCGATGGGGACAGAGCCCACTTTGACAGCTGATTACAAACTGTCTCTGCAAAGGGCACACAAACACAACACACACACACACACACACACACACACACTGGCCTACATACAGTATACTCAGCTACACACATGCATTGATGTAAGTATATGTAATGCATATGCATACGAAAAAAACACTGAGATAAAGTTTCACAGACAAACAACTGTCACTCATTCACATATTTCTGTATATGGCAACTTCATAGCGCTTGACAGATTCATGGGTCTGTCACTAGTGTGCACATGTACACGCACACACGGACACAGTGTAGTGCCTCACAACTTCAGGCTGAGATCTCAACACTTTATATTGTTATTATTATTTTTTATTGCATGACATTTTGGCCTTTAAACACAGATACAAAAGCTTTACTTAACGAAGACTTATTCTGGATTAAATTCTCAGAGACAAAACTATGAGTAAATGCTTTGTTTTTAATCTCTCTATAATCAGTTTAATCTCCAAAGAATAAAAACAATTTTATTATAAACCTTTTACATTGGTGTAATGTAACATACATTTATGGATTTACATACATACATTTATTTAGAGTCCTGGAGCAGAGGTTGCCAATCTGCCTGACTGAACATGCATTTTGTTGTTTAGTTGAATATTTTGAATAAAATTTGTTTGTGTGTCTTGAATATAGACAGGCGAGAACCTTATGACTTCCAAGGGATTCTTGATGGTACGCAGCAGCCAGCACCAGCGGGGGCACTGTGGCCTGTTTAGGTTGTCACTGATTCCACCCTTTAGCACCCCCTTGACAGGGCCCCGCTAAAAAACTACTTTTACTTCTCAGTCAACAGCTCAACAACTCAACTGTCCATGTCTGACAGAGTGCTGCTGTTTGCTCTGGTAGCCAAACAAGTGACGGTGTTAGCTAGCATCAGCAGCAGCTAGCTCGCTGCAGGTAGCTGAAAGCAGCCGTGATGATGATGATGATGATGATGATGAGGGTGGTGGTGGTGGAAAACGTCAAGTTTGTTTAAACATGTTTGAGTTACTGGACATTTCAAACTACAGTGGATTCATGTCCTGACTATCTGGCCTGTGCGGGCTGGGTGTGGCTGGTTATGTGGCTGGCTGGTTCTGTGGCTGTACTGAACTGTGCGGGCTGGTTCTGTGGCTGTACTGTGCGGGCTGGTTCTGTGGCTGTACTGTACTGTGCGGGCTGGTTCTGTGGCTGTACTGTGCGGGCTGGTTCTGTGGCTGGCTGGTTCTGTGGCTGTACTGTACTGTGCGGGCTGGTTCTGTGGCTGTACTGTACTGTGCGGGCTGGTTCTGTGGCTGTACTGTGCGGGCTGGTTCTGTGGCTGGCTGGTTCTGTGGCTGTGTTCTGTGGCTGTACTGTGCGGGCTGGTTCTGTGGCTGTTTTTTTACTTTGCGGGCTGGTTCTGTGGCTGTACTGTGCGGGCTGGTTCTGTGGCTGTACTGTACTGTGGGGCTGGTTCTGTGCTGTCTGTGTGGGCTGGTTCTGTGGCGGCTGGTTCTGTGGCTGTACTGTACTGTGTGGGCTGGTTCTGTGGCTGTACTGTGCGGGCTGGTTCTGTGGCTGGCTGGTTCTGTGCTGTACTGTACTGTGCGGGCTGGTTCTGTGGCTGTACTGTGCGGGCTGGTTCTGTGGCTGTACTGGTGTTCTGTGGCTGTTGTGGGCTGGTTCTGTGGCTGTACTGTGCGGGCTGGTTCTGTGGCTGTACTGTGCGGGCTGGTTCTGTGGCTGTACTGTGCGGCTGGTTCTGTGGCTGTACTGTGCGGCGGCTGTGGCTGTACGTACTGTGGGTTTGGGCTGTACTGTGCTGTAACTCAAGCAGCACTGAATGTCAGATTCTGCTGCTTTGTTTAATGATCTTACTTATTTACTTACTTTGTATACTTTGAGGATGGTTCTGAAAGGGGCTATCAGCACTACTTATTAGCAGTGCTTATTAGCTAATTATGTCATACTAACACACTAAACTAAGAAGGTGAACATGGTAAACATTATACCTACTAAACCTCAGCATGTTAGCATTGCCATTGTGAGCATGTTAGCATGCTGACATTAGCCTTAAGTTCTAAGCACTGGAGTATTTTCTTACAGGTTGTTAGTATGGCTGTATACCCTGGTCCTGTTGCATAGGTTGGCCCGGGTCAGGGTACTCTTACCTTCATGGCCCCAAACAGGGAGCCATGAATGCACTCAAGCTGTGGCACTCATACAGACAAATCCCCTGGGGTGTTGCCTACAAACTCGGGTAAACCTAATGGGGTGTTGTCTGCCCCTCTGTGTGTGTGTGTGTGTGTGTGTGTGTGTGTGCCTATGTTTAATTTACTGTGAGCTCACTCAACACTGTGACCTCTTGTAGTTATTCTGGGGGCAACAAGCGTCCCCACAAGCAGGACTAACGATACAAAGTAACGGATACTATGGTGTGTTGGCCTCTGCAGGGCTGTGGTGGGTTAATGAGGTGTCAGTCACTGTAGTCCAGGGCTGCTGGTTTTCCAAAAGCTACAGAGGTCATTTTGATGGAAATAACTGACATAAAACTAAGATTCTGACCCATTTAAGTGAAGTAGTTGGATATTTGAAAGGAATGAGATCAGATACAGCTATATTAGGGATGGGATGATATAGGATATCATCATGTATTGTGATAAAAAAACACAATAAATCGTTTTGTTTTTTATTACCGTGATAATCATGAATATCCTCACATGGCTTGACTTTAAAAAGTTGTCTTGCTAGCTAGCAAAGATAAGAGATGCCATATGTCACTTTTCTTCTTCAGAATGACCCCTTTTGGGTGAAACAAGCGCTGTAAAAGTGTCTAGTGGTACTATGTCTAAAAGCTGCTACATCGCATTTTTTACATCAAACTATTTAAAAAGAGCCAGTGTATGATTTTCTTTACTTTCCTAATCAACATAGGACAGTAAAAGAGATTTGTGGCTTTAAGTTATCCACAGAGAGCATAAAAATGGTAAACTGTGGGACCCAGACAGTCAGTATGTGTCCGTCTGTAGCACCCACTTCATCACAGGTTAGTTAATGATGTTGCTGAGTAAATGACATGCATGCCAATTGTGTCAGTAGATTGAAGATAATCAGTAAAGGGTCTTAGTGATGGTCTAAATAAAGTTTTAACTGTGAAAAAATATGGCCCTTCCATAAAGCACCTGCTTTTGAAATGGAGTTTGGTTTGACAGTCTAGAGCAGAGGGTATTTTAACCTTAATAATTCAATAAAGTGAGCTGACCTACCTTCTAATGATGAACCTTGTAAACAGCATAAAGTAACGTAGGAAGTGGAGATAAAAACGATGGGTATGTCTCATAGTAAAAGATCGATTAATATACACAAACTACGATATAATTAGTTTAGAGTAACGTCACATTGGACAGGCGACCAAAACAGAAAAATAAAGTGTCTTAACGAAAGAAACAGATGTCAGAAATACGAGACCCAATAAGGTAGTTTTATATGTCAGGTCCATCCACTTTGATAGACAGGCAGTAGGTAAAGTGATTCCTGGTTTTAGTGCCATTTTAAAGGTATGAAGTACATTTTCATGATTATTGCGATATCGTGTGTTGCAGCTATTTTGGTCAAGATAATCGGGACATGAAATGTTTATATCATCCCATGCCTAAGCTATATACTGAATCGATTGCCACTGTATGCATTCTAAAAGCATCTTGTTACTTTCTGTAGCCGTCCATCACAGCAACCCTCCCCAGTCACTGCCATCAGTGATTACAGTCATGTTGAGGAGCGTGTTTTGAAGTTTGTGATCATCATGTTACGCTGTCACCACAGACACGGGGTCATGTCATATTTGGGATCTTTTACATCTCAGGATGGTGCAGAGTAGTCTTCAAGGCGCCAGGCAGGGTCCATATCCCAACTTCCCGTCCCATCACGATACCACTGCTGTCCTCATGGTCTCACAGGAATGGAATTACAGAGCTATGTAGACAAACCAGCTCAGTGCAGAGATCTCGCTGTTCCTTTGCCAAACATTTTTAGATCAATTTTAAGAAGATGCACCATGCAGTGTAGTTTCAGCTGTCAGTTCAGGGATATCAGTTAGAAGAGCACAGTTAATTTCCACGATAAATATTAGAGAGGCATTTAAAATGTTTTTGACACGCAGTGAAAACAAAGCCACGGCTATCAATTCCAGGACAGGGAATATTAACTCCAAATGATGATTGTCACAGAAAGTTCATCTAGAGCAATGAGGCCAAGGTTTCCAAAAGACTATCCGTTTCCTGCTGACTTAGCTGAGTAGACCCTGTGCCTAATATATAAGCCATGATGGATTCAAGTTCACAGTGTTCCCAGTTCTCTCAGTAAATCAGTGAAAATCCTTTGGGCTCTTATAGGAACATTCTGACATTTGGGAAACTTCGCACAGAGTCAGACCGGAAGATCAGTATCAGTTTTGGACATGAAAAGCTTTGCTTAGTTCGGTGGCTAGAAGCAAGGGAAAACGGCGCAGCTCCATCAACAGTGAAAAAGTACACCTTGCAGCAACTGTATCTTGTGTTTTTAACAGATATAGACATAGGTAAGAGATGGGGTTTCCAGGGCACTTATACACTGCTTCCAATCTCATCAAGAATTTATCCAAAAACCAGGTTGATGATATAGCAACTATAAAAGAGCATATTTTTGATTCTGAATAATAAACATTGTAACTTTTAGTTTTATGGGCACATAAGTGGAGCGCTCTGATGACATCATACTCTCTTCTGTAGTGGAGGGGACAAGTAGCAGTGGTCATAGTAACAGGGGTACCATGTGTAACCATTGTTCTCTGTCTCATATCCCAGTAATAGACCTTTTTCACAGCAGCCATCTTGGCAGGAAGTAGTAGGGTAAACCCAAATGTTACCAATGGAACATAGACAAGATTACTGACATCAGCCAGCTTTTGGGAGTAGCACAACCAACTGTACACACAATATTGAAATCCCACCCAAGTTGACTGCATGCCGGGTTAGCCATTAGCCATCATTAGCAATACCAGTTGATAACAACACATTATGCTGTATTTTGCTCATACAAACATGTTAGCAGACAGATGTTGGACAGTGTTGTTTGTACGACTGATGTAAGGAGAAACAAAAGACACAAGTGCTAATAAACAGAATATTACTGCAACTTTCATTTAGTCGATGAGCAGAGCAGCCATCTTGGATTTTGAGGTTGGGGTTGCTGAGGTTCTTCCGACTTTCCTATTTGGAAATCTGACAGGGGGAACTGCAGAGTCAGGTAGTAATTACTCAAGGTTTGTCACTATCAATGACTCCTTTCGTGTAACATATAGTCGAGCTTAGAGCTAAAAATAAATCTTAAATCGCTCAGTATTTTCCTCAGAGTTAGGGTTAGGGTTAGGGTTAGAATAATAGACTGCAAGATAACTGTGAATTTCTAACACACTACATGTCTCTCAGCTGTTCTGAACAATGGATGACATATGACATTTAGTTCAAAGCTTGAACATTAAGGTTGAGAAATTTAGCCATGTGGGAACTTACATCAACGTGTCATAATTTCCAAAAGTGTCTCTCTTATCACAGACCATATCTGACAGCTGTTCGTAACACCGGCCCAGCCACTAATGTGAGGTTGTGACTTCACTCTTTCTACACGCACAAATTGCCCGTACATGATGTTTCAGTCATTTGGCCAGTTTACAGACACTTACTTTTAATGTGGCTTAGCATGTGTGTCTGTATGCGAATGGTCTGCGAGAGTGGTTTCATCCATTCTGCGAGAGTGAAATGTTTCACCCCAGTGCACATTAAAATATAGACATGGCCAGACACTCAGTGTAAGCACCTGCTGTGGAAGAAAAGATTTATCAATCACCAGTAATGATTCGGGGTATAGGGTTCTTGGGCGTGAGAAACTGCATCTTTACAGTCCAACTCTTGGTGACAGATGGTTCCTCTTGTACCACAGTCGCCTCACTCACATACACACAGACACACACACAAACATGCACAAGGCATGCACAACATCCAAGCGCACATTCGTACATACACAGCTTTAACATTCCCAACTACATTCTTCAGCTGCTGCTTTTAAGTTCTCAAAGTCCACGATGATCACGCCCACCAGAATGATCAACCACATTACTATTGCTTAATTATTGTCATTATCCCTGATTATTTTTATTTATTGATTTATTAGCCTTTATACGATTATAAACACTTGATAAATGGTTTATAATATTCAGTTCAACTCATAATGCACAGTAGTAATACCAATCAATGAAATCTCAGTGGAGTTGAAATGGGTGGGTAGGTAGTAATGTTATATAATAATAATAATAATAATAATAATAATAATAATAATTATGATAATAAGATAAATGCAATACAATAAAAATGCAACATAGTAACAACATAATTATATGACCTTTTGCTAACTGCTCTAACTACTCTACCCGCCCACACAGACAGACCAATGAAATTATAGTTTCGACCTCATCAGTCGGAACTTTTTTATAATGAAACTGTTTTAAATAGGTGCTGGTTGGACTGTATACTCATTTTGGATAGTGTAGTTTATGGCGCTGTTGAATTGCATTGTGTTATAGTCACAGATGTGCTTTTTATGTTGTCCACCCCATTTATATTAAGGGTAGGCTAAATCACACAACACCCCTCTGTATAATGCAATACAGCACTTCAAACCACATAAAGTCAAAACACCTTTCTGAAACAAAAACTGAACATGAATATGCACTGGATATAGATGTATTGCTATTTTATCTAGGCAGACCTAATAAACTGTCAACTGACTGTGTAACTGATAACTTTATGTTGAATAAGGGTATTGAGCATCACTGGACAACTACATCAAAGTCACTTGTGAGCTTCCACAGCCTTTTAAGGGAAAAGAGTGAAGATAGGAGTGATATGTAAAGCTTCTTAAGCATGGACCAATATACTGTACAAGGCTCATGCTTGAGGTGTGCCATTTAAACCAGGCCTCTGATGGATCACAGCAGGCTGTCAGCAGGGCTGCAGGAGAATAAAACAAAGTATACCTTCAACCCCCCGCAAATGCTTAATATAATGCAACATGCAACCTACTTAGTGACTGTAATTTCATTGTCTGTGCATAAATATTGAGGTCATAATAAACAGTAATCAGAGATCCTAAGTAGTGTATGTGTAATGTACTACAGAATACCTCTGATAAAATGTGTATGTACAACACTTTGATGGTCAAACAAGGGGAGGGGGGTCAGTGGGTCTTAATATAGAAAGGTTAGTAAGTGGATGGAGTGAAGGAATGGGCTTTACAGCAGTGCTAGTGTTGATAGAGTGGGTGAAGACAGGCTGCTAAGATATGGTTTCAGATTGACATGCCTCTTCATGGTTAGAGCTTTCTGCCTAATAGAGTTGTGCCTCTGAACCCCGTTTTAACACTGCAGCTCTCTGTTTTCCAAGTTAATCAGATCATTTTGACAACAAATATTAGAGTTGAGTCTTGTATTCTTTACTGACAAATAGAGCAGCAATTATTGATTGTTATCTAATTAGTTGATTAACCAAAAAGGAATTAATGATATTTTTTTAAATCAAGTAATTCCAATACTGACTTAATAAGTAAGTACCAAACAAATGTGTCCATCTGGTGCCTTTCTCTGTCTCATGAAACTGTATTACCCTTGGGGTTATGGTAAATGGTAAATGGACCTATACTTGTATAGCGCCTTTCCAGTCTTCCGACCACTCAAAGCGCTTTTACACTACATGCCACATTCACCCTTTCACACACATTCACACACCGATGCACAGTATCTGGAGCAATTCAGGGTTCAGTATGTTGCTCTTGGTTCAGTATCTTGCTCAAGGACACTTCAACATGTGGCGGCAGGAGCCGGGGATCGAACGAACAACCTTCCGATTAGAGGACGACCCGCAGCCACCCGTTATGGGATGGGAGTTTATTTTGAGCTCTGGCAACATATTTGATCATTTTTTAAGTTTTTACTTTGGACAAAATAATTTAAAATACCTAATTGCCATCCCCAGTGGCAAATTTAATAATAGGTTAACAAGAAATGATGGAATAAAAAAACCTTCCAGTGCCTCTCATTGTTGCAACCCTTCAAATAAAGGGCTCTGCCTGATGTGGGCCTGACTCCCAGCGGGACCTTTGGGACCTGTCTTCTCTGTGATGATGTATAGAGAGTCAGTAAGTCTCTTGGTCGTGGACTCAAATATTTAGGATAGTCATGGACATGGCTAAAATGAGGAAGTAGCATGACATCCTGTCTTTTCCAAATATAGAAATAGGTGAGACAGAATTAACAACTGCAGACACTGTATGTATGTGTTCCCATAACAGTACTGCAGAACTTCAAAGGCTATACTAAAAGACCTAGAGTATGTTGGCACTGTGTACAGATGATTCATTTAAATGCTGCTGTGTAGTTTTGATCCATACTCTAATCTAAACCCAGTAACCCAGTCAAATGTTGTACTGTGGACAAGAGTCATTGCTGACTAATGCTGACTGATGCTGGCAACTGTTGACTGGATAGTGTTTTGTTTGATAATAGGGATAGTATGATTCTGGAGCAACCTAACTTTACGAGGATTCATAGCAGGTATATATATTTTTTTATTGCCTTTAATTGATAGTGACAGCTGAAGAGTGACAGGAAAGGGGGATGAGAGGGGATAGCAAAGGGCTACAGGTCAGACTTGAACCCAGGGTCGCTGCAGCATTGACTTGTACATGGATAGCTCTACCAGGTGTGCTATCCAGGCGCCCCAGACGTGTGCACTTTTGGATAAAAAGTCAGAAGACTTTTGGAAGGATTGTAAATTTGCTACATTCATGTTCCCTCTCAATTGTAATAATGCTGGTGATCTGGTCAGGTATCATTCGTGATTGGGTCGTATTGTGCTTTGATTATAGTCCCTGCAATAACTAACTGATAATAAAAATATAATAAAAATAACATTCTTTTACTGAATTTTGAGTGACTGTGGGAGTGTCTGCCTCATTTCATTACTGAACATGGCATCATTTTGTCACGGGTGGCAGAAGGTTTGCTGTGGAAATGGCTTTGTTAGATGCATGTTAATGAAAATAAAGAGGTTACTGAGACTTTCTTCAACCTTGCTTGTGGTTGTATTTACGCTGAACAGTCTATACGGGCATCAGAACTCGTCGGAGAGCACACAAGACAAGCACCAAATCACAGTTCTTGCAGTCCCCATGTGGTATCTCTGTAGGCCTGATGTGTAGTTAATAGAGCTGCCCCCTAATAGTTGTTTTAACTGTTGTTGAGAAGAGTCGGAAGAATAAATCCAGCTTTATTCTTGTCAAACAGGTTGCTGAACGTTAGTGCTGTATGTCTCTTCTAATCTTGGTACTTCTATGGCCTCTCCAAAAATCTGACTGAGACAAATGACAAATTGAGCTGTGATAGCAGCACAGGTGGCTGGAGGGAGAAAGTCCTGGCCGGTTTACCAAAGTTATGTTCAGGACGCATGTTTTTATGACGCCTCATGTCCCTGCCAAGGCAAATATCAAACAATGGAATGAGGAGCAAGGGAGTCACACCAGAGTCACGTTACAACATCTCTTTCCTCTCCTCTCCCTCCTCCCTCCAATTTTTTTTCCATCTGATGAATCCAAAACAGCAACCACACCATGCAGTTCTCTGAGGCCTACAGCAGGCCCTGTGGCTGGTGTTAATTGAGATAATTGTGTGGTATGAGGCTGAGCCACCGCTATGCCTGTCCAGTTATTCCTATCATGGGGTAACAGGGTGGCACACAGATTCCACAGAGATTTTACAGGGAGCAGAGGGCTGGAAATGTATCCCGGCACATCACAGTGGCTGTAATCCCCGGAGGACTTCCAAGTTGCTGGATACGGTGTGTTGTGTTTTGTCAACAATCATTGTTGTAGTAGAGTTGTGTCTTGCTTGGTTTGGTGGATCTCTAAGAATAGCTTGATGGTAGCTGACATTCTGACAAGTTGGCCGGTAGGAGTGTGGCAATACTCAGGGAGGTGGCAATGTAAGCAAAGTCTCAGTGACTGTCCCATATAGAATAAAAAATCTGACACTGTTGTGAAGAAAATACAGAAAAATCACCTCTGAAGATGTTTCGCTTGATTTTTTGTGGTGCTTTTAATCGTATAGACTGCATATCAGTAGATGGAGTTATATCAGTTGTCACTGAGCTGTAGGTATTCTAACTTTTGTTTTGTCCAAAGTTGAACTGAATTTTGAGTCAATATTTTCAAAAAAAGAAAATATGAACGAATGCTTGTTTCCATACACTACCGTTATTAGGAGTTGTAGGTGGTGCAAGTTGTCCAGTAGAAGATGCCCCTCCTCCAGAAGAGGAGGGCACAACAAGATAATGTAATTAAAAGAGCACCAGTCGAACTTTTAAACTGTGAAAGATAATATAAAAAACATGTCACGTGTCATGTTATCAGTAAACAGAGTTTAAGTTATACCTATGACAGCTCAATCTGCTGATGAAGCTGTGATACGTCAAAAGCTCCAGGACACACAAGTGAGTTGACCTTGAGATTGTTTAGTTAAAAAAGATGATTTAGGATTATATTAGGTGAGTTTTAAATGCAGAAATAAAACTGCTGTCAAAATACCAATCTGAAGCTCAATAAAATCACTTCTCAAAACGGATTTTTGCTTTGACATTACTTTAATACCTTCCCACCATCAACACTCAGTTTAATGAGGAGACTGTCTTGTGTCACTTTACAAGCACTCTTTAGGTTCCAGTTCTGCAGTCAAAGCATTGCAACTACATTTATTCACATCCCCAAAGAGGTGCTAGTCAGATTAACTGAATATTTATAGTAAGGAGGGTCTAGTTTATTAGCTCTGGTAATGATGTGTAAAGAGTGCTGACCTATGTCATGATGACACTTTAGAATGTACTGCATCCTCTGGGGAGATCCCTCCCTTTATCTTCTCTTTGTTGAATGCTGCTGGATGACACTGATGATATCTGAATTTATACAACACACTCACCAAAACACTTGTGACTACATGATTCTACATGAGCCAAGCCACCATCGCCAAGTCATAGCCGTAGAAACAAGTGAAATGCTGCCATCTAGTGACATTAACATAAACACCTTCTGCTAAAGGGAATGCCTGCAGACCTGTTTGTGTATTTATATGAAAGGAATTCCCTTTCTTGAGACATGCAGCACTGCAAATAACCTCACACCTCAGTAAACACATTTTACAGAATCCCCCTTAAGGAGTCAGCGGTGCTATTCTGGCTCTGTCCGTAGTGCTGAACACTGGAGAAGAAACTGGATAGCAAACTCGACACCTCAGTCAGGATTCTTCACGTTCTGCACACATTAACATCTCACCTTGTGAGGCTGGCCTGAATGTAACCTGAGCACTGACATCACCCTTAAGGACTTGTTTTTTATTGTTCGCATTGCAACCACCAGATTCTGTAAACATGAAACGTGGTTGCAATTTACAGTCATTCCAAGCTTAGGATGATGTGAAGAAGTATATGTGAATGTGGTTGAGTGTGTGTGAAGGGGCTTTATAAACATATGTGCATTGCTGTTGTGTATGTTATAAGACGAAGTGTGTTTTGTACATTATTTCACTCTGTGTCTTATGGGGCCCCTAAGGCAGGGATCTCAAATTGCCAGCCTGGGGCACAATTGCAGCCTTCCATCCCCCTCCTGGCAACATAATGTCAGGAGTATAATTAAATCCACTAAACAACCCCTTCATATACAATAACAATGAAAACACAGTTCTATTTCGTTTGGTGCAAGATAATGCCAAAGCTCAAAGCAATTGCCATGTCAAAAATGTGTGCAGTACAGTTGATAAGAAGAGAGCAGGTTCTGGGCGGTCATTTGTTGTTTTGGCTGCAAACAACAAAGATGGAATAAAATGATATAAAAAAGGTATAGAAATTAGGGTCATTTCTGCAACACAAGTTCTCCCCGTTTTTTTAAAAATTGTGATGGTGTGAAATAAATAAAAAAATTAACAAACAAAATAAAAATGTTTTTTCTTGTTTGTTCTTGCGATTTGGATATTGCACTCAGCCGCTTTCTTGTAGTACTTCAACGTTGAAGTGGCCCTCCTGTGCGATGGCATACTAGCAGTGGCCCCAAACCAATTAGAGTTTGAGTCCCCTGCCCTAACGGGCCATGGTGGAGAAAAGAATATATTATTCTACTGCATTTCCCCTTTGGGCTCTGTAGTGTCCAATGTGACATGTTTCAGAAATATTTAATTTGCAAGACATGACCAACAGGCAACACTGCATAGCACCATTCTAAATGTTAGTAATAACGTGTTTTATTTAGTGTTGAATTGTATGTGTAAGTGGGCAGAGCACTCAGTGTTTCCATACAGAGGAAGAGCTCTAAGTTGACGAATAAGCAAATAGAATTGTATTAAACAAAATTGTGGTCACAAAGTATCACAATGTACAGTCCAAAAGGTGTTACTGCCGGGATGGTTTTTCTTTACCATTTATATAAATGCACATACGAATACACATTAAAATGTCTTTTACTGCTGTCAGTATTTGCAGGTAGACATTCTTTACCTCTTTTTTATGATGACATTTTGTGATGTCCTTAATTTGAGTTAAAACAACACTATATAGGTCAAATTACGCAGTGTTCAGTTTGAATGATGCAAAATAAACTGAACAGAAGCCACAAGTCAAAGAAAACATATTACAGGCAATGTGTGAGACGGTGGAGCAACCCTTGATCATCATGGGTTAGAAGACTGTATAGTATAGTCATTACACAGACCAAATATGCTATTTGATGATGACCAATAATAAACATTTAGAGAAAAGAAGAAAGTTCCTTCTTCCTGTTCACAGTACAGAATACTGTATGTGCAGATTTGACACTAGACACTGTTTTCACATTCAGCTGCTCAACGTGGAAAGTTTCACAAATAGTCTGCAGTCGGTCCAGTGACGTTTATCTCTTTATATGTCATACAGTATTAGGTGATGTGACAGTAAGTGCAACATTAGAAAACCTCAAATCCTCAGACTGTTGTGTTTCCAAAATAATAAGCGGGACCAGCATCAAAGCCCCAGTGTCCTGACAGCACACGCTGTTGAACAAATGTCCCCATGTTTTTAAGAGGATGAGTCCAGCATCAGTCATCAGTCCTGCTCTGTTTCCACCAGTCAGCTCCTTGGCGCTGATGCTGCTGACGGGGCTGTGCTCACCAGCAGCCACCCGTGAAAGATGCTATGTTTGCTGGCCCAGGACTCACGCTTGGCTGGGAGACAGCAGGGGGGCCCGGCCGGGGTTCCAGGCCCTAACCACTGAACTAGATTGCTGTTCTGGGACTGTAGTTAAGAGTGTGTGCGTGTGTGTGTGTGTGTGTGTGCGTGGATGGTGTCTTGGCTGGTTTCCCTCTCTTTCAGAATCTAGAGGAGATAGCCAGCAAAGCAGAGAAATTGAAGTGACAGGACCTGCTGCCCTGCCCCCATGTAGAGTCTCACACACACACACACACACACACACACTTTTTGACAGCTCCACTGGACATTTGGCTTTTTGACAGCCGTCTCATTCTTTTCCCTTTGACTGTCAACTATTAGGTCCTCTATAGGTCACACTTAATTTACATATAGCACACAAAAATATAAATATAAATTCTGACAATGGCGTGAAAAGGCACCTATAAATACGCAGGGTTAGGGTTTATGTAAAACTGCAGCAAAATCAGACAGCTGCACATTGGTGCACATTTATCACATAGTTAAATCAGCATTGCTCTTTAAAAGTTCTATATATAACTTTCCTAAAATCATTGTTATTAATGACACCAAGGGCTGTTAAGCGAACTGCAGAATCAAGAGTCTGTAGATACGGGCCACTATCATCCTGATGTGACACACATGAGACTGAGCGCTGGAAAATAAATTACAATCATATTTAGAATAACGTTACTATCTGCAGTGTTCCTATATTTTATTTGGACAGTTGACTCCATGCTACTAACTAGCTTAGAGTTTCCAAATGACCCCCCGGCTGTGTCTCATTCCGCATACTTCCGTCAGTACACTGCTAATGTGCACTGACCACTTACTGGCGTAGTGCCCACATTCAATGGTTGGTATTGTCCCAAAAGGAACACTTATGTTGGAACACTTACCGGAAATGACGAGCGGGATGAGCGTGACGAACGCGACAAACGCAACACACGTGAACGCGATTTTCCAGCCCGCCAAAAATGTATGCCTGCTTTTGTTTACAAAAATGTTTCTGCACGTTCATTTACCGCTCAGTTCACAGCATGTGGAAACTACGTCGCCTCCGACGCCAACGCTAATCAACTCGCCAAATAATTATGTCGGCTTCAGTCAGTGAGGGACATGTAAGTGATGCATTAGACAACAGTACAATGTCTCGTATTACCACCATTACTTACATTTATACGCTTGAGGTGTCGAACTTGGCGTCGCAGCTCCGGCTGCCTCGGCTGAGTTGTCCGCCATTATTTCAAATTTTGAAAAACTTGCCGACGTCCCTGGTCCCTCCCCTTCCGCTTTGTAGTCAAGATGGCGTCCGTTCAGTGCGAGTAGGGTCCATCATTCCACACTGAATTTTTGGACCGTTTTTAGGGGGTCATCCGGGTACTTTCAGTGCACTGACTTTTAGTGTTATCTACAATAGACACTTAATATTAAGTGTTTTAAGTGTGCATGTAGGCGGAATGAGACACAGCCCCCATCAACCAACCCCATGAATCAGCAATGCCAGACCCACAGCCAGTCAGCCAACCACAGTTTAGCTTCGCTTAGGCTACTAGCTAGCCGGATAGGCCCCTGCCTTGCATTGCTCTTGGCTAGTAGAAAGCAATTGTTTTCTTTGAGCCGTTATATTATTTATTGTTGTCATAATACATAAGTTAGCATCACGGCTCATGTTAGCTGGGGAAGTCACTTTGCAAGCTAACGTTAGCCAACATATCTACTCAGATAGCATTTTGCAAGCAATAATGTTAGTGAGCAGTCAAGCTAAAGTTAGCCAGCTGCAACTCAGCCATGCTGAATAATGTTATTTGGCACCAGCCACCCCGCTACACCAGCCAGATCTGCCCCGGGGGGTCTGGAGGAAGAATTTTTTGCTATGTTAGCTCACTAGCAATTTGTCTGCGTTAGCAAGCTACATCACAATACATTTAACAAGCTTTGCAGTGAGGTTAGCTTGACTTTGGACTTTGTATTGGTGGAACTGTTAGTGGACTCCCTTTATGTAGTGAAGCGGAGAGAGAAGGCATATGAGACCTTCATATCCTTTGGATTTTTGCAGAAAATTCAATCTGCATCCCTGCATAGAAAAGCATTAGATATTTTGCCCTATGACTATTTCTTATATTTTTAGATGTAAGATTAAATTCAAAAATAAATGGCAAAAAAATGGCCCATTATATTGATGCACAGTGAGGGAAATATTACCATAAACACACATATACAATACATGCATGCACACATCAGGTACACATACTAGTGCAAATGCAGTCATATGCCAAAATCTAGTATTTGTTCTCTCTGTCAACAAAACTACAATATTGTCTCCTTTTGTGTTTACAGAACACTAGTAAAGATGAGTCAGGTCTGTGGGATCCCGGGGGCGATGTCAGAGTGTCAGCTTTGTTACCAGCCACAGAGGGAGGTGAAGCTCTGAATGACAGCCTCACAGAGACAAACACAGCAAGCACTGTCACCTTCACCACACGTCAGGTCTCCACCTCTACCGGGGCATAATGTTTTATCGTAGTGTGTGTGCAGGGAGGTGTCACATTGAAGGAGGGCGGGGGTGTGTGTGTGTGTGTGTTTGTGTGTATGTTGTGTGCATTTATTTGAAGGCCCAATGAGTGCCATAAAAAGAGGAAGGGCAATGTTTTGAAAGTGAAATATGATTGGGGGTTTGACTTCAACAGAAAGAGGAACTGTGTGGAGTTACTGGAAATGGGCCGCCTCTTTCCCACATACATCTTCCTTTTTTTTTCCTGTTGTCGTTATTGGTCTCTCGTTTTCTCTTCCTTCAACAGAAGGCCATGTTTGTGAAAAAAGGTCACTGCCCTTGTTGGAATCAAACTCAGTATTGCTTCTTTGCAAAGCACAGTGAGTGGATGCTGAGAAAAATATAAGTAAATGACACATGCAAAATGTCACTGTGCTGTACTGTATGCATGTGTAGACATCTGTATACCTTTTATGCAAAACTAAAATTTACATATTGTCTGCATTGTGCAGCCTGTTCATACATGTACATTTTGTATTGTGATAAGGGCAGGCCCAATGAGCTATGGCTTTTTAAGGTCATTGCCATAATTTCTTTTTTGGCATATCAACACTGTCCAGTGAAAAGCATGGAGGATTAAATGTTTCTGTATGGGTTGAGAGAATTCTCATACTTCCTAAGCTAAAAAAAGAAGAAAAAAATGCATTAAATTTGTCTCAGCTCATGAGAAGAGGACTTTGTGGGGATTCACAGAGCAGCAATGACATTATTTATTTTACTTTAGAGGTCCAGTGTGTAGGATTTAGTGGGATCTAGCGGTGTAGTTACAGATTGCAACTCACTTGCTTCACCCTCTCCTTCCAAGGACGAGGGAGAAACTACGATGGTTGCAGAATCTGCTAAAATGGTATGAATATCTTATTAAATTTCTGTCAATGCATCCTTCTAAATGTTATACACTGGACCTTGAAGCAGTCCCCTCAATATTTGGATCTAAAACTAGGAAATAGCCATTACCAAGAGGCATTAGGAATTTCATCCATGTGTAGATAGTTTCCACATTCCAAGTACTTACCTTCTTGCATAATTCCTCTTGTCTATCACCTAAAGGTCTCCTGTATAATAAAGATATTAACATGGAATATACAACTAACATGGTGAAATGAGAAGTAAAGTGAGCAGCTGTGGCTCAGAGAGCGGGTCGTCCACTAATCGGAAGGTTGTTGGTTCGATCCCCGGCTCCTGGTGCCACATGTCGAAGTATCCTTGAGCAAGATACTGAACCCCGAACTGCTCCCGATGCCGCGCATCAGTGTGTGAATGTGTATGAATGAGTTAGTTTCTGTTCGATGGGCTTTGCCATCACTGAGTGAATGTGTGTGAAAGGGTGAATGTGCCACTAGAAAGGCGCTATACAAGTACAGGTCCATTTACCATTAAAGTTTAACTGCTAGATTCAGCAGTGCATTGGACCATGTAGTCAGTCATCTTTAAACCAGCAGAGGGCGCTCTGATATTAGTAAAGAGTGTGAATGTGAATGTGTCAGTCAATGCTGACAACAATCTCATTACAATCTCATTCTCGTTCACATGAATAATTCTCTGCACAATGCACCCCTCTCCAGTGCACTTGTATATGTCTTGTAGATGCTCAATTTAAATTTTTTCTCAATGCTCTTATTTTTAGGGTTCTTGAATTTTCTTGCAGGCCAAAGTGAGAAAATGCAGCCCTGAAGTTTTTACAGGCTGTATGTGCACACACTGAGAATACTCAAAGTAAACCAATCATTTACATGAACTGAAAAAAAGCTTTCAGTTTCTGGAAAGCAGAATAGAAAACAGACGGCCTTATCTCTGCCATCCAGAGGCTAGCATGGTTACTGCTGGCTCTCAGTCTTATCAAGTGGCTCCTTCCTTCCTCTTTTGACTGACTCAAGCGTTACATTTCTAAGAAGTCATTCAGAGCTGTCTGACCGCAGCTCACTATTCCCACACACACATCTCACAGTTTGTTAAATTAAGTTTGTTTGTTTGCCACTTTGCCTGGAACACTGTCCGTACTGTATTAGCATTGTACATGATTTTGTGTTGTCCTGGTGTCTGTGCATGACACAGCGAGATGGAAAATGTTGTAAAACTCTGCAAAAATTGTACACATTTGACATGATTTTTTGATGTTTATTGTTCAGTTCATTTGCTATGCATGAGTTGTAAATGTTGCAAATGTTGTACCGAGCTAACAAGGGATTAGCTGGGTTGTGGCCCGCCATTGGCCCTGTGTCACCAGAACACTCACAGTCTTTAGCAGCACCCTGTCCTGCCAGCATGCAGCTCAGAATGTGATCGAAACCTGAGGGTTTAATAATAATGGAGGAAAGTAAAATGAATTGGATGGGGCAGAGGCTTGTGGATTTTGCACGGTTGTTCCCAAATTCCTGGATTGTTGTTGGAGCAGTTGAACATAGCTGTGAGAGTTGTCTGTTAAAACTGTTCGAAAATGTTTGCCTTTATTTGATAGGACAACTCAAACTGGACAAGAAAGGGAAGAGAGAAGGGGGATGGCACACAGCACAGGGCCACAAGCCGGCCTTGAACCGATGGCCACTGCAGCAAGGACTCAGCCTTGGTACATGCAGCACCAGCTCTACCAGGTGAGCTACAGGGTGCCATAAAATTGTTATTTTTTAATAAAAAATGTTCTTGTAGATAATAACTATTTTAATGTCATTTGATGCGTATTATCAACATATAACCAGGTCTACAGGATCTGCTGGACAGATATTTTCTTTGCCCCAGTGAAAGAAAAAGGCCAAAAACGGTTAAATTGGGTTGCTCCCTTTGGATGCCAGGCTGCAGCATGTTTCCTTGGTAACAGAGGAGTTTGGCTGGCAGCCAGATCCTGCAGTGTGAAGTCCCACCGCATCGAAGCCAACCTAAATATACACCCATTTCTCTCACTCACTCCCTCTCACAACACACACTCACTTGACTGCAGGGACAGGCACTCGGTTGTGCATAAATTCACAACACAGGCATGCCCACATATGGGCACACCGTCCTGGCGGTAGCGCATGCGCATGATACAGAAAGTACACACGCACATACACCGGTCTCCTTTCAACGTGTCTCACCCACCCTTTTTCAACCTGTTCCTCTGTCGACTTCTCCCCCATTCATACAAGCCCAACAGGATGAGTCTAACCTCTATCTGTCTGGGTACTCTCAGCGCTCATTGTGGATGACATTCATGTGAAGCAGTTCTGTAGCCTGCCTATCCTGGAGAATAATGAGCTTATACACTTTAGCAGAGCAACAGCAGTGTGTGTGTCGTGAGAGACATAGAGGATGTGTGTGGTTGGGTGGGTTACTACGTTGGTTTTTCATAATGCCCACATCTGCGGGCCAGGTGATGGTGTAGACTAGTTTGCAGGTGTATATGTGTGTGTGTGTGTGTGTGTGTGTGTGTATACAGTATTGCGGATGTCAAAAGAGTTGGTGTACCAACAGGCCAATATGGGTTGGACAGCTTGAAATCATAATGTCCTGATTAACCTCCAGCAGCCGCTTTTCCACAGAACTCTTGTCTACTCTGACATGTTTCTGCACGATATGCTGCTAAATCTTCTGCTCCTGACAGTGGATGTATTACAGCGCAGGCATGTATTATCAAGTGACAATGACAAGCCGATACCCTCGATTTCAAAAAGGCAAAAAAGGAATTCAGTGTGTTCAATTTGTGCACAAATACAAGGACCTGCAGTGAAGACACAAAAAACAGAAAAAGCTGTGGAATCTGCTATTTTGAATTTGAATCAACCACTTTCTGCAAAATCACTGTCAGTTCAGAAATTGTGGTTTTCTACCTTTAATGCAAGGAGATTTTCATATACATCTTAAACCTTTCTTACTTTTTTCTATGAGGCTTGCTCACTAGTTTCATTTAAATTTTTACATTTATTTTTATTCTTTTTCTGATACAGCCTTACTTGGTCTGGTATGGCCGCTAGCTGATGGTGGCTAATGTTAGCAAATGCGTTAGTAACAGTGCTGGGTCAGTGTGCTAACTTGATTTGTATTATTTACTAGCTAAGTTTGTGCATGAGGCCCAATGTGTTCTCTCCTGCTGGAGCTTAAAGAACATGTCCTATGTTATAAAATACAGGTTTGAAGTGTTCAGAAGAAAACACTAATCGCTATAGTATAAAACGATATGCAATGTGACAGTATATTACACATTTTCACATTATTTCCAGTCTAAAACCTACCATAGATACACCTGCAATGGATTGATTGATCAAACACGTTTATAACTGCCTTAAGGCAATATCTGCCAATAGCAGCATGCAGACGTTTGCTGTACTTTATAAGAAAATCCAGCTCAGCAGCCTCTTGAAAACTACCTAAAAATGTGTCTGTCACGTCTCTGCAAATGATTTGGTTCTCTGTGTGAAAACAAACACCCTGGGGTTTTGGTGGCTTTTTGGAAAATCCATCTTTTCAGGCAAATGCTTTGTCTGTCTGAGCTTCTTGAAGTTCACCTCCTGTGGCTATCCTGTGTGTGGAGGAGGGGAAAAGAAGAGGGGAGGGGTTTGGAAAGAGAAGGAAAAAGAGAAGACAAGTGGAGGCGAAGAATTTCAGATAAAGAGGGCCACATGGTCAAACTCACGTGCATAATGAGGCCCACAGTTCCAACGTCAACTTTAGGCACATGGCGGCGTCCACAGAGAGCTGAGGTCTCTGAGGGGGTTCAGCTCAGCAACAAACACGTGCATGTATATTTTTATGTGCGAGGCAGAGGCAAGCACCTGCAGCTTTTGACGTGTGTGCCTTTATAAGCACCAGCAAAAGTAGTGCTGAAAATGCATATACATTTAAAAATATGCAATTAAAACATATATATATATATATAGATAAATACTAACTATTAAATCACTTTAGCTGGAGCAATAGAGAATATATTTCTGTTATAAGATTATTGTCTTAAGGCCCAGTCATACATGGATTCAAAGCAGTCAAATTTTGTGGCGAAGTTAATTCATTCCAATGGAATTGCCAGGATGAGTTGATTAGCTTGCAGGGGCAAAGTAAATCCATGAATTTTTCACCTTGAGTTCAACTTTGACACGCAGTTTTGCACCACTGGGGGTTAACAGTGCAGTCCGTTGAGGGAATGGAGGGCCAGAGAATCCAAACCAAGCGTTCAATCCATAGTGAAAAGCCAGAACAACAGTCACTAATATTACTTTACGTTGTAGCATTTCATCAGGCATTATTTCCCAATTTCTATGGTATATAGGCAGCCTCTACAGAAGCCCTGAGAGGCAAGTGAGAAAAAGATATTCTGGTGATCCATTTTCAAATTGTTTTTCTCTCCTGTGTTTATGATACACTTTTTTCACAACAACAGCTTTGCTGAAATGCTTTGTAAGGATAATCTTTTTTTGTTGTGTTGTTGTAATACTCATTTTGGCCAAAAGAGGCTGGAGTGCACCACTACCCCATTCTCTAAACAGTTAATGGAAAAAAATTTTTTTTACACCTATGTCACATAAGAAAAAAATAATATTTTAGGTCCCACCCATTCTTAATGAACAGGAGAGACATTTTTTTTTTATCAGACTTGGATCACCATATGTTTTTGTCTCACTTGCCTCTCAGGGCTTCCGTAAGCTTCACATCCTTTTCTAAAAGATTGAAGCTTAAAAGTTGAAACGATCATTTGATGGCTACTCTTCTTTATGGCCCTAAATTTGAGTTGCCACTATGATGGAAAGACAAAGGTCTGCCTAATGGTCCTCATCACGTGCCTTCAAATTTACTTTGACCCCAATTTCATCATGCCCTTCCAGTTCTCTTTAGGAGCCCTGCTTCAGCAGTAATGGGATGTGACGGATGTTTGAGGGCAGTACTGTGTGAGAACAGGAGCTGGTGAGGTTCTGTGTCCGTACAGACCATGGGAAGAGGAGTGGGGTTTACCCTACAGCCCCCCCCTTTCCCTACCTTGCCTTTTTGTACATCCTTTTTCTCCCCTCTTTTCCCTTGCCTCGTCCTATCTCCCGCTGTACCCTCTCCAACCCATAATCTACCCTTCTCCTCCCTCCTCTTCTTTCATGCCTTCACCTCCCCTTGTCTTTGCGATGCTTTTGTTTCTCGGATCTGCCAGAGTCAGAGCCGTGGAATGCTGCTGGCAGCCTCATCCCGCCTCCTCCTCTGGCATTCCCATGCTGGGTCATTGTGGGTGGGATTGAACGAGAGGGGGTCACAGCCAAGGAAGTGAACTAGGAAGTTTTCACAAGAGTTTAGCTTTTTCTACATGGAACCAAGACTCTGTAGAAACTCATTCATCGCAGGCCTCTAAGGATTCATTTCAGCAAACAATTAACACAATGGCACTTTTAGAACAGATTGTTAGGGACACAGAGAGGCAATTGTGTTCATTCGGTCAATTCATGGAATTTGGGAGTGCCACACCTTGCTATACCTTAGCCTGAGTCCAGATTTAAGCTTAAACGTTCAATCATTATAATGCATAGCTGACAAGTATGTGAATTCAGAAGTGAAAGCATTGTGAAGTGTTTTCAACATTGCTATAATGTTAACATTCACATTCATCTGGAAAGTTTCTCTGTGTTCACTGAAAATCAGATTTTAAGGGGCGGGGCCTACCAAGATTTGTGACATCACAAATAGTCTGGAATGTGATGTAGAAACTTGAAGCCACCAGTGCACATCCACTGAGAATGGACTTTACGGTGAAGTAGGAGACTTGTGTTCAACAGGAAAACTTTAGAAATGAACAAAATGTACATATACATAGATACCTTCTCAGTTTATTTAGAAATGATTTCATCTTTTTTTTGCATGGTGTGTATTCCCTAGAAACACTCGCTGGCTTCTAGATCAATGGGATTCTGCTTCGTTTGGTGATCACATTCCTTTTTGGTTTAACGTGGGAAGAAGAAGCCATAGAGTACATAGGGGCGGGGGATTCACACACACACACACACACACACACACACACACACACACACACACACATTAGGGGAGAGTGTGGCTCAAACGGCCGGCTCCAGTGAAAAGATCTGTGTGTGGCAGTCGCGGGTGATTCTGGGGCCTTTCTCCTCCAGAGCCTTTGTGTCTCATCCAAGGACAGCAAGTTCACAGAGACACAAAGAGACTGGGAAAAGGAGGGAAAGTGAGCGTGGACAGTTTTTTTTTCACCCTTTCTACTCAACACTTCTTTCTTTTTGACTTCAAAGGCAACCCTCCGGTACTCGAATGCCCATCATGATTCACTTTCAGGCAAAAAAAGGCTTGGCTTTTCTGTCATGCACACTTTACTCTGTAGGTTGTGATGAGGAGATATAAAGATGATGCTGACCAAGCTGCAACAGTCAGGAGCTTCTGTTAAACATGATTTGACAGAACTGCATCACACCACTTTGATACAGTGTGTTAAAGTGTCTATAGTTCATTTTAGGTGAGAAGGCAGCACAGATAAGTTCATTTGTACTCTAATCTTGTTGTTCTTGGGGATATGGATCGTTTGTACATTAAAATCATCCAATCAGCTCCTCTGTTCCTCCCTTCCTGCTATCTAGTTACATATAAAATAAATAACTACTTCCCTCTGTGGGGAAAAGTCTCCACT